ATAGCAACAGGCAATTGTGCGTTGGCTTTGTGTATTTTTCAAGCGATTCTCGAGCTTGCCCTTTCTCTTTGTTAGCTCAGTGGCTTGTTAGCGACTCTCTTGCACTTATCGGCGCTGCGCTTTCTCTGCTGCGTTAACCATTGTTTTGCATTGTTTGTCGAACTGTGTTCTGCTAGCGCTGGCGTCGCTGTAAAGCACTCGACGTAATTAGACTGCGCTGTCGGCGTTTTATGGCCACTAACACACGCACCTTTGTGGTGTTCGCTGCCAATTGATCGAAGCTTGGATATGCGCTTGCTAAATGAACAGTGCCGGTGAACTATATTAGGCACACATGTGGAGTTGAGCGCGAATTTGTATGCAACCGACTTAAACACGATCACAACTGTTATATGTGTAATTGAACTATATTTGACATTTGTTTACCATTACTAAAGATTTGAAAAAATATATATGTATGTATAAGTCATCTAAGCAAGACAATAGCAAAGAATTACAAGTATATTGTTATTATTAGATGTTCATAGATCTAAATAATATTGAATTAGAAAAAGCCTGTGCGTCAAAACAAAGGCGTTGCTAATGAGCAGAGGTAGACGGGCAAAGGTTCACACCATTTATTCAGAGTTCGATTTTTAACCGACTTAAAAAAAAGGAGGAGTAGGGCCTCAATTCGACTGTATTTTGTTTGTGTTTGTTAGAAAATTATCTTCAACATACCTCTTTTAGTCGAAATAGCTGAAAATTCGATTCCTGAACAAGATGCTGTTACTTTAAAAACATACTCGAAACGTTATGTCACTTTAAATGACAACAAAGCAATATTACTTGGATCAGTTAATCAAGGTGATTTACGATTAAATTTAGCTCGAGGTAAGCAATGCACTGGAAAAGCAGAATTCCCTGTATTAGATCCGAAGTCGATTTTATTTTTGTTACTTGTTATATGTTGTTGTATTGTAATGTATTTAGCTCAGAAATATCTGCAAACTACAGCAGGTTTCCCAGTACTTCTTTCTGATTTAATTTTCTTAAGGCAGAGTTATAAAATCGCTTAAAAGTCGTAAAAAATCTTCCCACTCCATTTTTAATGACCTATAATGATAAGAGAAGTGTTTACCGCGGGATTACATTTCCCTAAGCCTTTGTGGCTTTTAAAATGGCAGTCACTAATCAATTTGTGGCAACCACAGAATTGACAACCGACATTAGACTAAGGAGACTAATCCGAAAACAATTACATTACTCAAACAAGCAGCTTGCGAGCCTGATAAGCGAAAAGGGAAAAGAAATCTTAAGCAATTAAATCTTTAAGTCGCGTTAAAAAGCCAATCTTTTTCAGCTCTTTTTGCGGGCCAGCGGACTAATTATAAAACGGATGCGGCGAGCCTCGTTGTCCAGCCAAGTATGGGACACTTTTTCAAAAGCTGGTGCGCCAGTCTGCGCCAAGAACAACAGTATTTTGCATAATTGTTGACCCAGAAAGACGCGGGAAAGCAGAGGGAAAAACAAAAACAACAACAGCAGCTGCAATAATCAGAAGGGCCGAAGAAGAAGATCCAAACAAAGAGTAGCAAAGAATTTAATTTCTTTTTTTTCACTCGCCTTCGTTGTTTTATTTCATTTTTTGTTGTTGTTTTTTGTTGTTGTTGTTGTTGCTCGACACGGAAATTTTGCTCATTTTTTTGCGCGTTGCCACTGATTTGTAATTAGGAAGCGACCGCCAACTGTCGCCGTCGCTTTAGCCCGTTCGGGTCGCAGGGCGGCCGGCAGATGCGGCCACGCCCCATTTGCACCGCCACGGCCGGACATTAGCGAGCGTTAAATACCCAAGTGCCATCTGGTGGCTCCGAGTGGCGCCAGCGCTGCTTTGAGTGGCTGCGGACTCCAAAAAAGGAAAAAAAAAAGGGAAAGGAAGTTGGGCCAAATTAAATGAATGAAAAGTGCTAGAAGAAAAGTGCAAAGCAATGACGCCTCATTCCCAGCGGGTATTTAAGCCTGGCAGTGAAATGCGAGCGAGCAAGCCCAGCTTGTGGTTTCAGCTCCTTTTTTCGTCCTGTTTCTACTGGCCAGTGGCCGCTCTTAGCTGACTGGCCCATTGTAACTTTCCCGCAACAACGTGGCCAAGAACTGTAGTTGGAGAAAGTTGAGGCGAGCTGGCGAGGTGGCTTGCAAAAGTTTATTAAAAATTTAAATTCAGTTTTAATATTTCTTTGCATCGCTCTGCTTCTTGGCCCAATCTGTGCGCAAGGAAATGCGCAAAATTGAAATTATTTCATGTCCGGTGTCACCATTTTGTGCTTCCGGTCGGCACCCTTTTTATAGGCCAAAACTTTAATCCCTTACCCATTGATGCACAACTTTTCGGCTCGTTGCCAGCCTCTCCACGGATATTTATCATTCGGCTCCTGCCCTGTTTATTCTTCGTTATGGTCGGGGCGGACTTGCATGTTTCCGTCATTTGACATTTTTGTTTTTGCTGTTGTTGTTATTGTTGTTGCGTGTTTTATTTCACACAAGGCCAAGGAGAGGGACCAGAAACACTTTTGGCCTTATTCCTGAATTCTAACTTCGTTTAGGATTCGTTGTTTTATAAATGGGAAAAATATTTAAATTATTTTCTTTGGGGAATCGACAAAAGTTTTGCGGCGCTTTCATTAACTCGCATACATATGTCAAATGCTATAAGAATGGGTTATTTTTAATACCGACAGATGCCAACAAAAAATCAATATTAGAAACTTTGCGAAAAATATTTCTACTACAGACATGTGAAAAAGGTTTTTAATAAATTTTATTAAGAAATAGAGCAGCCTTTTTGCAGTCAAACTAAGGTCAATATAATGGCTTCTTTAGACTGCTTCAGGGAGCCATATTGCCCCTAGTAGTTATAAGAAATGTATGCAAAAAGTTCTCGTTTTACAATTAGCTCGATGGCCAATTTTTCAAAACAAATATGATGCATAGGTTGGCCTTAAAATGTTGAAAAGTTGTAAAATTTGAAAAGTTGCTTTTGAATAAATTTTATTAAGAAATAGGGGTTCCTTTTTGCAGTCAAACTAAGGCTTCTTTAGACTGCTTTATTGCCTCGTAATTCCAAAAAATGCCTGCAGAAAGGATGCACCATAAAGCTTCCCTTTCAGAACATAGATACATATAGCATATGATGCATAGGTTAACCTTAAAGAGTCAAGACAATTTCTAAAATTGGAAAAGTTGGTTTTAAATAAATTTTTAATTAAGAAAGAGGGCTTCCTTTTTGCTGTCAAACTAAGGTCAATATAATGGCTTCTTTAGACTGCTTTAAGGAGTCGTATTCCCTCTAGTAGTTGAAAAAAAATGTATGCAGAATTATGCTGTACAAAGTTCCCTTTTCACAATTAGCTTGATAACGAATTTTACGGGACAGATACATATAGTATATACCTTATACAGAAACCTTAGAAGTTGACCATTTCTAAAATTGTTGCTCATTTTATTCGCAAGTTATTCTCTTCTTGAGCAATTCTCCCTTTGTCAATGCTTCAGTAGTCATATATTATTACGACTTCTTTTGACTTCTTTACTTGTAAAAACACCGCTCGGGCATATATTATTTTTGATATCGTTAAGCTAAAAAAGGTTGTTTGTTGGCTTATTGCATTTGGGTGCAGTAATAAGACACATGCCAACACGATTTGTAAGAAAGCCTATTAGAATTAATTTGTTGCTTTGGCGCAGACTCTGAGCAAACAAGGGAGACGCGAAAAGTGACCAACAAGTGAACTGAAACTGAAAAGAAATCCTTGTCGGTCATAGAATCGCTTTTGGCAGAGTTTACACTAAATCCTTTGGAAACGCAAATCTCTTTCAACCGCACGGCTTTGATTCAAAAGCCCAACTAACACTAGTGCCAAAAACTTTTGCGCAGCCACACAAAAACACTCGCACACACACACGAATCGTTTTTGTTGTGTGGCACAAACCTCTGTGCCTCTCTGCCGCAGGGTCGCATTTCGGACTTGGCCTGCCCCGCACACCACACACACACACACACACACACTCCACATTTGAATGCACCTCACCTTGCAGAAAGGGGACGGAGCAGAGCGGCTATAATAGGCGTCATAGAATGCAAACACTCACTCACACATTCACACACACACTTATGTTTGCACTTACCAGTTAGCCAGGACGAGGGCCAAAGTGTATGCGAGACGCTCGAGGCGGGCACGTTGCACTCGGAAGTCAGACTTTTTTTGAACGCGGCGCACAGAAAATGGCAATAATGAAATCAAAAATGTGAATGCGAATGCACTTTGCGTTTCCTTGTTAGTTTGACCCTGTTACGAGCACAAATCCTTCGCTCAGTCCCACCTTTGCTCTCACATTCATGCACCAAGCTCACAGAAACGTCAGACGTCTGTCCGTCAGACAGTCAGTCAGAGGCAGTCAGAGTGAGTTGGTCAGAGCCAGCGCCAGCGCGTAATATTCTTTGGCATTCTTGCTGGCTTCCTTCCTTCCTTCCTCCTTGCCTTTGAATGTGCACTCATTAGTTCGCATTTAGAAAATTATGCGGCTTCTGTGGCCACATTTTTGCATCTAAATGCAGCAGAGTTGAGCACAATTCGTCAGCGTGTGGCTCGTGTTAGCTGTAAACAAGTCCGTCGTCTCAGGCCAAATTGCTGGGACTTCTGGGATTGCTTACAAATGCAATGTCCACACAAGACTTTCAACTTTCATGAGAAGTGTAGATTAATTTTCCCTTTTCAATCGCTTGTGTATGTTCGTCTCTTGAATGTTGGCAGAATTTTATGCAATCTACAGTGTATGGCTCTTTCAAAATCATGTCAAATAAATCGAAAACTTCCTCAAGCTGACAAATTTTTTTGTGTGCAAATAAAAAGTTTTAGCAAAAGTCCAAACAAATAGAGCTATAACAATATGCAATGGAGAATCTTAAACTACAAGTATTTTATTCATTACTTCATTATTTTTCGATATATTATCCAATACACCTCTCCGAATGAATCATTAGAATCATGTCGAAAATCAAATACTCTCTTCTTCTTGAGCTTACGAATCGATTCGATTGACACTTATCGAACGATTCAAGGCCCTGCCAACCCGCTATTAATTATCGATTATTATCAGTAGGAAAGAGGCAAAGGGCTTTTCGTTTTGTATTTGATTACACAACTAAGTATATGCTCGTTGATCTCAAAATTATTGTCAATTTCAAACTAACACGAAAATATAAAAATACAACCCTCATTCGTCCTAAATGTTTTCTTTTCCACCGTAATGTACCTGTTTTTCGACGCAACGAATGATTTCAATGAAGTTGGCATCTCATCCGCATTATCCCAATAGATAACTTCGAGTGGAGATTTTCGATGGAGGATTTCACTCCAATCAGCGATTTCATAGATAATGTTCTCATTGAGCTCCGCATAATGGAGGTAAATGGTTTTCAAGCGTTGACATTGTCGTAATATATTCAAGAGGAATGGACTCGGCATTATGTCGCACGACTGCACCTGCAATACTTCAACCGTATGTGGTAAGAATATAACTGGTTCCTGGGCACTGTAAGTAAATCCGAAATATGTTAGATTGTAACACTCCGAGAGGTCGATATGGCTGTCTTTAAGTATGGATAAAAACATCCATGTAATGGCATTGGACTTCCTCGATACAATCGTCGCGATATTGCCTTTAACCATAGAGGCACGATTTCCGCTTAGATATAGAAGGTCCAGCCTGATTAACTTTAAAATGTATTTGGCAGCGTTTTGAAATAGCTCGCATCCAAGTAATATTTTTCTAAGCTTGTGACAATGTAAAACGTCTACCCATGGACATGTAAACCCGCCCATTTTTTTCACCGTCAAGACTTCAAGCTCGGTGCATTCCTGAAAGATTTTCTGCAACTCTCTACTGTGGATATCGTCGAGCTGTAGATCTCTGAGATATCTAAAGCTAGAGATGCCACATAAGCGTTTCGGTTGCGGGCATTTATGATAATACGCAAAAGTGTTTATGTTCGGAAACAATTGAGGAAACTGAGCCAACGCCTCGTTATATTTGTCTGTGACTTCTCCCCGATCCGCTACTATAATCACAGTTGTTATATTTTTCATTTCACGTAATCCTGCGTCCTGAAACAGCTTCACCTCCTGCTCAAGTTGAAAGAACTCAATGCTACTGAAGCATTCCTTTACTTGCTTCAGATAATATATCTGGTTTTCAAGGGATTTGAAAGATGTCAGCATGCTGGGACAGTACGTTGGTAAATTGGCAGCGATGAGGGTTTTACCAAAAGGAACGGTTTTATGCCATATATCGTGACAGAATTTACGAACTTCAATATGTGATGTATTTCTGGCTATTTCGACCTGCCCTTCCAATTCCATTTCCAATAAAACGAGCTGAAGATATGCACTCAAATGCATATGGCTGTGCTCCTTGCTCTGCGCCATGTGTTCTAATCAAATAATAATAACGAAATGATATTCCAAGTGTTGCAAGCCACATACCTATACTCTGCGCACTATCCATAATACCGGTTCTCAAACAAGAATTTCTCTACGCTTAAAATCAAAATTTTGCTGCTTAAATTTAGATCGAAAGGCCAACTGAAATGAGAAAAAAATTATTTCAACTGAGTGGAATGGATTAAGATTTTTGCTTACACACTACTATATGCCTGGTTAATAATGTTGGACAATTTTTAATCCAACTTGAACGAATTCAGTAGTTGTTAAAGGTTTTATAATTCAGCTAAGCATTAAATGGCTGATAAACTTTTAAAAGCTCAGAATATTGGTATGTAAAAATTCGAGAAAAATGATTAATAAAGCATTTTGGATACCATATCCACTTATTAGAATTTAGATATCTGTTATCTTCTTTAAAAAATAGAGTTGTTGAAAATTGCTGAGTATCCGTTTTTTTCGAATCAAGTACAAGTACAAGAATTCGATATTTTCAAGGAAACAGTTGATTTGTTTTACTAAATTAATCGCTTTCAGATATCAAGAAAGTTACAACAATAATGTCATGTTCCAAAAAATTAATAATTGCCCGGATTAACTTAATGATTATTTTTGAAAATACCGATAGCCCCACAACAACAGTAGCGTTGTGGCAGTCAGTGGAAACAACAACAGCTGATGCGTCTCAGCATATCGATAACAGAGAGCCAGCGATAAATCGTATTGTAAACCATTACTAGTTTTTGCAATCGCTCTGAAGTTCCGCACCAGTATTTTCCTTTCTTTAGCGGAAAACGACGTTGCTTGTGAAAATGAATAATAACGATGTTGTGAAGACCACAGAAAATCAGCAGGGATTCACATTTACTGAACTACTTAACCTCGATTCTAAAACGCAGGAGGTCATTTATAACTCGGCTGTAGCCGCAAAAACAGTAAGAGAGAAGAGCTGTGCCTCCACTTAACGTCGACGACATTACGCGGAAATTGCTGCAAGCTGCTTCGGATAACACTCAGACTCAAAGAGTCAGACATTGAGGAGACTATGCGGATCAGATCAGATCTGTATCAGATCTTCGTACAACAATTTGCCGGTGATATGGCAGGGGCATAGGTCGCTTAGTACCTGCATTGACAATTAACACATACACTGGCCAGGTGCAGGCCTACGCCGTCGGCCAATACGAAACCCAATCCCTGCTCCCCTCGCAGCAGCCGACAAACAAGACTCTACGCCAAGTGATCAAAGGATTCGCCACGAACGATAGCACCCGTGACGCTTTATGCAAATGCATTACGAAGTCGCTGAAAACTGTGAATTTGGTTGAGGAATAAATGGGATCTACGTGATGGGAACCGCAACAGGACACAGAACTTTTGGCATAAACATAAGAAACGATTTCAACTAAGCATTTATTAAATCAAGTTAATAATTGATAATACAAATTACATATTTTTTGTTTTTTGCTAGCTTTTTCCAAAGAGCAAATGAATCTATTGGCTGCTTGTCTGCAATCGATGCCGCCGATTTGTTCATATATGAAGTAGTTGCTAAATGTTGTTACAGTTAATAATTGAAAAAGGTATATGATTATGTCTCTGGATGAATTTTTCAATTAATTCCAATTACTTGTGACCAGCTATCAGTTATTAATCGCAGTCAATACTTACTAATCGTACTTCTTAATCAAGAAATGCAGCTCATTGTAAACTATTTTCAGCAAAAGTTTTGTTTTGTTTTGCAACTACAACAAAATAAATAAAATAAGTTATTTAATAATAATAAATCATGTATGAGAAAAAACTGGCACTCAACAGCAGTTCTTCCAACGCAGCACAACCATTTGCTTGTAGTCCAACTTGTTTTTTTTTTTTTTTTTTGCATTTCAAAGGAGCTATCCATGAAAATGTTTTGACAATTTGGAAATAAGAAACCACTTGAACCGCACTTTTGATTAAAACACTCCAGAGAGATAAATAGTTATTTAATTCATTATTTATTTAATGCAATAAATTTCTCAGTTAAAGTTTCACATAGTTTGGTTTTGTCGTTTATAAGTATTTTGTTTTTAGATGGTACTTAACATAATTTCGCTATATGTTTACACCGTAATTGTTTTTAAAAATGTATTTTTTTTTTTCGTCTTGTGGTTTGATTTTAATCTGCATATAATATATGTACGTATGTATTTACAAGTAGTTGTGCATTAACAAAATGCACGATTCAACTTTTCTATGCATTCCATGTTTTAATTACATTACATTTTAAATGTCTAGCTTCATGTTTTGCGACACATCTAATTATTCGTATGTATTCCCTTCGGTATGTAAACACTTAGAGCTTAGAAATGTATTTTGATTTCGTTTTGTTTGAAGTACAATATTTTAATTGCCATACTGGCATGAGACTTATACCTAAGACTTTATTGTTTAACATTTTGTTTCTGCTGGGTAACTACATACAAGTATGTAGGTAGTATGTAGGAGTAGTTGGTTATTTCAACGGTACGGGAAATTTGTTTAATATCCGACTAATTATAGGTGTTCAGCTTGGGGGGAAGCAGAGAATGAAAAGTGGTTCGCATACGGGCTCTTAACCGCAATGTATTTAAACCGCAAGCGCTTCATACGTGTTAATTTCCACACCGACTACTGGCCAACAAACATTTCCTGCACCGTCCTCCTCCCCATCAGGCTCTTTTACATTCATCCTGTCAGCCTTCGGAGCATTTGTGTTGTTTAAAGCAGAGAAGGAAAAAAAAAAAACTGCGACCGCACTTTTCCACCCATTTGAGTAGTGTTTGCTCGCACGTTGCGGTTAATTTTATTAATCACTCAAACGTCGGGGCAGGGCAAATGTTGCGCATACGCACAGTGTGGCATCCGGTGAACTGCTCGAACAGAGCAACAACCACTGCCCAGTTGCGTTTTAATGCAAACTTAATTACAATTTCATCTTTGCAGGAAACGAAAGCCAATTACACTTATAGGCATTAACTCTTTTATTTTTGCACTTTTTTTAAATTTTAATTTGAAGGCAAAGTGTGTTTGGGCTGAAGAATTGAAGACCAATTTAAAGCCTTGTTGTGAAAAATAACTTTTCATTGACATCTCTAATTATTACATTCATGAAGTGTTTAAATCTTTCTTAGTTTCAAAACGAAAGAGCAGTTTTAGCTGGAACTTCATTTCACTTTCAGCCTTAAATATACATTTTTTGCAGAGTTGTGAAATATTTCCAAACTAAAGAAAATAAGCCTTGTATCCTGCTTTAGCTTTGAACAAGGACTCACATCGTTTTAAATCTCTTTCGACAGACGATCAATTTATTATAACAGCTTGTTTTTAAACTCTCTGCAAGGCTTTGTAATTCAAATTTTCCCGATTGCTAAAAAACTGTGTGAGATTGTGTCTGTAAGTTGTGTAATGTTTAATTTCCATTTGCAATTAAGCTGCTGGCTTTAAGCACGGCAGGTGCAAGGGCAACTCACGCTGACTGCATTTTTAATTAATTTGCACAATTTTTATTTAAAATCATTATGAATCGTTTGCATTAAGTAAAAAGGCAGCGCTTGTACAAATATTTCATCTTTTTCTGCCCAAATCAGTTGTATAATTAAAATGAGGTTCGCCGAGTAAATAAATAAAAGCATGTGCCTTACATATAACGGTTGCTGTTGCTTTGCTTTCTGCATTAATTGTATAAATACATAGCCACATACACACATACATAAGTATTTGGATCGGGGAGTGTATACATGTATATGAATGTGTTTTGCATATATATATATATATTTTCTTTTTTCCAGTTTAAATGCAATTTATTTGTATTGGTATCTGTATAGTTTTTATATTTACTGGCTGTTGTTTGCAATTTTTTTATTTTGGAAATTATTTTCTTGCTTCACTATTTATTTACCTTCATATGAAATTAATTTACATATATGATTAACATTTTATAATAGAATTATGTACAGTTGCAAGTTACATATACATACAAGTACATGTTAGTCTCTCAATCAATATATCTTCTACGACTATCAAATTTATGTGTGTTCGTGTTATGGTTGTTGTTGTTGTTCTCGTATGACAATATTCTTTTGCATTTATGCGGACATCTGATTTAATAAATGGAAATGGGTTGCAATTCTCTCTACTCGCATGCTGCGTTTTGTGACTGTTTGAAATTTTTTTGTTGAACGCATCTGATTGGATGCAATTCAATTAAGTTTTGAAAATACGGACACAAGAATTGTCTTTTATATTGGGTTTTCATTTTGTCAGCAATGTTTTTAATTCCATTGCTTGTTTTCACTTTTCACATTCAAGTCACCCCACCCGCATAGATGTGACATTGGCAAGTGGAAAAATGGCTTTAATGTTGTTCTCCTTTAATTGAATTCCGCTTCTACCTCAATTCGCAGGTGCCACAGAAATCTCAAATAGTTGCTTGGAAGGCTCACCATTTTATTTTTTTTTTTATACCCTGTACCCGTAGGGTAAAAAGGGTATATTAGGTTTGTGCAAAGTATGTAACATGCAGAAGGAAGCATCTCCGACCCCATAAAGTATATATATTCTGAATCAGCATGACGAGAGAAATCGATCTAGACATGTCCGTCCGTCTGTCTGTCCGTCCGTCTGGCTGAACGCAAGGATCTCAGAAACTATAAAAGCTAGAATAACCAAAGTTGGTATCCAGATTCTCCTAGGTCCGAGAAAGGACGAGTTTATTTTACTTTTTTTTGCTCGACTGTAGCGTTCTCTCTTGTCTTTTTTTGAAAAGACCAAGTGATGGAAATGAGAAATTCTAATGCAATTTTACTATAATTCAAATATTATTAATGGAAGCATAAAAATCTCTGTTTAAACTCTATTTTAAAATACTTTCTTTTGAAAGACTCGCATGCAAACGCTGTAGAGATTTCCGGACACATGTAACATTTTTATTTTCCAGATGAACAAATACTTTTAAATGACTCTTCTACTCGTTTTGTTGATTGCTTAAGACCTCTCGGAAATACTTTGAATTTACACAATTCGAGCTATTTTTCCAACCAAAGACTACTGTTCAATTTTTGAGCAAAAAAATGTTTAAAAGTGTGAGATTTTCAGAGTTTTAAAGAATAAACAGGCATTTGAAAGAAAACTGCCAAAAAAACTTCATTTTTTCTGGCAAAGGAATCAAAAGAGAAAGCTTCGTTTGGTCAAGAGCAAAATGAAATGGAAAGTGATTTATGCTGGGCTTGAATATGCAAATGAGCATTCGATGGCATTTCATTTGAGGGTATTGTTATATAGTGATTCAGTTAAGAATATGAGAACTTTTCAGCTTAGATATTACGTTTTATTACTAGTTGCTTAGAGCTGGTTTAACTTAAGATTACTTGAATGTAGTTCGTTTGAATATTTTTTTGAATGGAAAACAGCAGTTTGTTCCATTTATATCATATTTTGAATGGCAGAAATGCATATTTGTTCCTGTATCTATGCAGAGCTTTTTGAATTCCCATTTAATAGATAAAATCACGCAGCTTACAACATGCATTGGATTATTCTGTCTGTGGTATTTATCTTATAATTGTTGCTATGAATTTATTTATATAATTTTTACTTTTGTTGGCAGAGTATTCGCTTACCGATGCCAATTATCTGGCTTCCATATCCTTCCAGTGCAGCTGCTTACAAATTCCGAACAAGCGGCTTGCCAGTCACATGTCATGTTCGATGTCCACCTCCGATTATTAGAACGCTCAACAGCAGCGCTACGATGCACACAGTATATGCCCGGGTGATGGGTGCCGATGAGGTTACCGCCGATGCCGATGATTCACCTAAAATTAGCAACTTCGTTATAAATAATGTAAGCCGAGTGAGATTTTCTGAGACCGATTTTCTAAAAGGGTTTTCAATAAACATTTCAAAGAAAAAGCTGTTTAAATCTGCTAGTTATTGAGAACTCTCTTAAAAATAGATAATAAGTACCCGATGATTCACCTAAAATTAGCAAATTCATTATAAATAATGTAAGCCAAGTGAGATTTTCTCGGTATTTGAGAGACCGAAATTCTTAAAGGATGTTTTCAATTAACATTTCAAAGGAAAAGCCTTTTAAATCTACTAGTATTTTAGATCTCTCTTAAAAGTAGATAATAAGTACCCGATAATTCACATAAAATTACCAAATTCATTTTAAATAATGTAAACCGAGTGAGATTTTCTGGGTATTTAAGCGACCGATTTTAAATTTACTAGTTTTTATATCCCTCTTAAAAATAGATAATTAGGGACCTCTGTATTTAAACCTGCATAATAGGCTATCTATCTTTTTATTATCTTTTTTTTCCACATACTTAAATTGATTTTATTCTTGAATGTAGCTTGGATTTTATTGCACGCCTCAGCCAGCTTATCAACTTAATTAATTCAATTCAATTCAAATTTTTATAAAATAATATTTGAGAATATCTTTAATACTACTATTGTATTGTAAACGAGCTTCTCGTTATTTTTGTATACCAAAAATTATAAGAATGTTGTCTTTTTCGTATATGAATTGTTTCATAAATGACAAGTGCATATAAAAAGAAGGATTTGGGAACCTCGGTTCATTTTAGTTAAATTGTGGGGCCTAACTAATATTCTTTAATAAATAAAAAACAAACTAATAAAATGCTAAAGAAAACTAATTAACAAATTGGACAAAATATTTATAATCCAAATATTTATTGAATATTGTATTTAATTATTTATTAACTCAACAAATGTGAAAATATATTATAATATTATAAATTAAACTAAAGATATGTAATAATATTATTATTAAGATTTGAACTTAAAAGGGAAGGGAGCCTAAGAAAAAACTGTAAAAAAATTAATTAATTATCTAATTAATTTTATTTGCCATATGGCCTGCCATGTGTGTTAAAAGATATTATAGATTGCAAAAGACCTTTGCCTTTGCGAATACAAAGCTTTATATTATGAATATCTAATAACTGGTCCTAATCTTTTGTTCTTTTTTATGGTTAGTCTAAAATCGAAAATTATAAAAGTTACTGTTACTAAACTAGGAAAACACATTTCATTTATATTTATGTTCAACTTCTGCTTATTTTAAATATTTATTTTATTTATTTTAAAGTTAACTTCGATATCAAATAGTTCTCATACCATAGAAAAAAATCTGGCAAAACTACCGTAAAATCTAAACAAAAAACTTATAGTATGAAATAAACAAAGATTAAGAGACTGTTACATTTGTTGAGGTCAAAAGTAAAAGCTCCCCAAATGTTAAAGCTTGTATAATAATAATAATGAGAGATATCGCTTTCAGACAATATTTTTAAAACATGAATATTTGAAAAATGATTTAAAGCCTGTGCACCATATACGAGTGCATGGTGGAGAATAAATCAAATTTGGAAGCACACAATGGCTTGTAAAATCTGTTCCTTTCGTAGGCTACACTTACCATTTATAATGTTGAGCGTTACGGTCGCACTGGGGCTGTTCGACGGGCTGCATGTGTAATTGCCAGTATCACGTTTCTTGGCCGACTCGATGATTAATGAGCCGATCTGCAGTTGTCGGCATTTACCGAGTCAACAAAATCAGCGTAGAACGAGAAAACGAAGAAGAAACTTTTAAAATGTCATTCGTGTGTGTGTGTGTGTGTGTGCAAGTTTTATGCAAATTGCCAGAAGCACAAGTTTCGTGTACAAACTAATGAGCAACAAGACGAAAACGAAAAGTTGAAACATAAAGAGCCCCTTGCAGGGAAAGAGAAGTGAGGAGTGCGGAAGGGGGGATGGGGGGAGGGGCGTTTAGATTTGTCAGAGACAGAAATTAGCACACGTGTGTGTGTGTGTGTGTGTGTGTGTGATAATGTCACGTTGCATGTGCCACAGAGCTAATTTAGAGATAGTCTGAAATTGTGGGGCATGGCAGCACGTGTGGCGGCACATAAAGAGAGATATGAAACCTACTTATATTGTGAGCCAATTATGAACGCAGGAATATAAAAATAAAAACGAAACTTTTACCATGCACATATTTTAATTTCGTCTCCGAAAACGGGACAGACAGACAGGCACGGTCACGTGGCAGTGTCAAGAAGCCATTTGCAATTGAGTGAAATTAAATTAAAATCAACAAGGGAGCCATTGTGCAAAGAAGCTGCCGAGCATTGGGGCTGATTATGAGGCTGAGTAAGAGTGCGGGGGATGAGAGGAATGTGCTTCTTACCGTGCTCTGGCCATCGCCATTGGCCTCGGGTAGATTTGGATCTAGTTGCGTGCGATGGCGTCGCGAGTCGGCGGCCAGTTGCTCAGCGCCATGATACCACATTATAAATGTGGGTGGCTCCAGAGCGCCCCGAACTATGCAACGCAGAACGACATTGCTGCCAGCCTTGACGTAGCGATCCGGCTCACCAAGTATTTCGGTGCGAGGAACTGCAAAGATAGATAGAGAGAGAGAGAGAGATGGGGAAGGGAAGTCTTAGTAAGCGAAAGCAAATATGATGAAAACTAAATGGAAATTGCCCTCCCGAGCACTGTCTGTGTCTGTGTCTGTGAAATTGTGACATTCGCGCTAATCTATTAAATTAACAGCTCGGAGTCACGTCGCACACGTAAATCTACACACCTTTTGGGGTCGACACAGGCACGGCAGACACTAAAGAAAATCCACTTTTCAATTTTTCACTTACATGATTCCACCAACGCTTGGGTGCTTCTATTTGCACCCACAGACACGACCCTACTGGCGCCGCAGACACGCACAAGCCCACCTGTACCTGTATCTGCACCTGCTCGGCTAAAACTATGCCTTAGCAAGTTCAGTTAGAAGTTGTGCCAAAATAATATATACTATATATATGTATGTACAGACAGAAAAAATTAGATATTACTTCCGACAATCGACTGCAATCGATGCACTAAGAAAAAAAGTTATCACGGTTATGGTGAAAATGAAATAATATTTACAAATATTGTGAACAAATTTTCTAGCGCGAATAAAAGTTTGTTATTTCTCAAATCAAATGGTTAATTATTATTTAATACTTTAATCACTTTTAAAATAATAAATTAACTGCTGCTGCAACTGCTTTATTTCATAAAAATAATTTGTTATGTTGCCAAAATAATAAATATAAATTAGAATTTAAGGAAATAATAAGTAAGCAAAAGAGCGTTAATTTCAAAAGAACAAAATAATGCGATTCATATTGCATTTAAAAAGGAGTTCTTAGTTTATTTCTGAACTTTGCGAAATTAATGAGCTTTGAAGAAAACCTCATTCAGATTGATACTTATCAAAAAAAAAACCTTAAATATTATAAAAGTATTCAAGCATTTAATAAAAATTGCTTTTAGAATGTGAATTATTTCCAATATTTTTCTAAATAATCCCTAAACTTAAATAGCCTGAAGTGAAGAACTTAATGTTTTCAAAACAAGCAAGTATAATAAAATCTTAAAACTTTTGATAAAAAGAATTTTTCAAAATATGAAACAATGAAAATTTGAACTCTTTCGAGATCTATTTATTATTTTTGAACATTCTTTCAGTTCGTTCGAAACTTTTCCTAAGTGTATGTACTACTCGTGTATGTTTTAAAAATAAACGAAAGAAGTTAGAAATGCTCGCGCATACTATATATATATGTATATGTGTGCATATGTATATATTTTAGTTTTCCATGGCATTTCAACCCCAACCCCAACCCCACTGCCACTTCATTTCCTTTGGCTACGTGCGCTTTGAATTTCGACAAAATCACGTATACGCCATGTTTTCACTGCTTCCACTGCTCGTACACAAAAATGTGCAAAATAAGTGTGTGCTACGAATTTGCACAAAATGGCGGGCAACTACTACGTGTATCTGTGTGTGTATGTGTGTGGGTATGTGTGTGGACGGATGAGTGCGCAGCAGTTGCTTCGGCTTGACACCGAACTGTGTCAGCTTGTCAAAATCGTCATGTTGCGCGTGTTAGTTTTTCAGCTGCTTGACTAGAGATGTGCACGACAGCATAAAACGGCACGGCGGCAATGGTATTAGCACACACACAAACACACCCACCGACACCCATACACATACTTACACTCACGTCCGCTATGTGTGCGTCAACAAAATATTTTACTAAACTACCAAATGAAAGTTGTTGCAAATACTAGTTTTGAGCTTTTCATGCAGAAGGCACCTAATTTGGAATCTGTTGGATAAGTGCCTCAAATGTTGTCATGCATAAGGAATGCAACAAATTGAGAAGTTTTGAAAAATATATTTACATATAAAAACATATATACATATATTTTCATATATTTAAATAGTTCATAAAAGCAGCAAGTAGTTTTTCCTCAACATTTAATGCAACTCCATTTGTGCCCGTTTATGCATTGATGGAATTATTTCTGTGCGGTTATAGATCGTATACATCGTTGTATATTGAATTGAATAGCTTCGATTTGGATTTTGTGCAAGGTTGGAAAATCGTTAAGACAAATGCTTTACTCCAAATGTAAAGTTTTTTTTTACATAGCATTTGCGAAATTGAAACGTTTCAGACTCAACGGTGCATCTAAATTGTGGAAATTTATTTGCCTATCTTGAAAATATTTGAACTCTCGCAATTTTTTCACAACGAAAATTGAAATCAAAATTTAAATGACAGCTAAGAATGGTCTACAACTTTTAAATATAATAATAATAAGTTATAAGTAACAATAATAAGTAAGCCCTTGTAAGAATAGTTAAAATGTGATCAGCATTCATTCTACTTTTAACCACACTTGCCGAGAAAAACGCTCGACTGTTTTCGAAGCTTCAGAAGTAGTTGAAAAGACATATTAAGAAATGAATCATTTAGAGCTTTAATCTTGTGAAATGTTGCCTTGAATTAATCCCCTAACATGGACTTAGCATAGAAACAGCAAGAGATACATTAGGAAAGAGAGACTTGATACGCATAAGCAGTTCATTCTTTTACAACAACTACTTTCATTAAAATGTGTGAAACTCTTATCTTTATCTCAATCTATATCAACCTCACCAGAACAAATTCCGCATCCACAAGCGACAATAATTTGCACTGTCAATCGAAGCTATGCTTTTGTCGCTTCTACGTTCAAAGGACTCTGTCTCCCTTTACAGTTGACAGCCGTTAAATTGAAATTCGGACACAAATTTTCTGGTGGAAAATCAAACTATATGTAGAACAGAAAAGAGGGACGAAACTTTCAACAAAAGCCACAGTTCTAGTCGAAAATGCTTTGACAAGCAAAGGGCGGTCGAGGGCCGAAACTAAAACCGAACCGAAAGCGTGTGCGGTGAGAAACAAATTGCAGCAACTTATTCAATTAATTGAGTTTATGGCGAAATGCTTTTAGGGAAATTAGTTCAATTTCAAATGGGCAGACAGAACGCAGAAGCTTATAAATGGTAGCATAAAAACTGTCACTTCTGATAGCGGGATACTTTTGAAATCGCCCGCAGGCTGCAGGCTATAGCTCCTGCTACTCCTGCTGCTGCTGCTGCTGGTGCCGAAAAATTGGCTTCACCATACGAGATTAGCAGCAAATTAACTAAGCAGAAGAAAGCAACGAAATCCTGTAAATGAATGAATATAAAAAGCCAAACAAAACGAGACGAACAGAAAGGAAATCTCATAAAAACAAATCTAGTTTGTCGTTCAATGATGCAGAAAGAAAATTTATTCATTCGTTCCTTCATTTTGTGCAGTGCCAGTGTGTGTGTGTGTGTGTGTGCGTGTGTGTGTGTGTGTGTGTGTGTGTGTGTGTGTGAAGCCTGTGCCTGTGAGTTTCAATTCCATGCGTCGCACAGTGAGGCAATTTTTGACTCAGTTATTACGAACGAAAATAATGTAACTCCTTTTTATGTTCAGAATTTTCTAAAACTTCCACTGAAGTATCCGAAAAATTCCAAAAATCACTTCAACTGTTTTGAACCGATATGTACAATTAAAATTAGTTGTGTTTTTTAACAACCAGACGAAACGAATTGTCAACTTTTAAAAATTCGCTTGTCAGAAACTTTAACATTATTTTAAATATATTTTTTCAAGATATTTCGTTCTTCGAAAGAATTTCTTTCTTTTATTTGAAAAGATTTTTAATATAATAAGAGACAATGAAAATTACTGAAACTCTATTCAAATGTGGAATTAATAAACATACCGGTAATTATTAATTATTAATTTTAATTTTTGATTATTGGCATCTCTGAAGAAAACTGTTCTCCAAAAAAGCTAGCGGCTATTAAATGTTAAAGTGAAAGAAAGAAAACTTTCCCATCTACCACGGTGCATTGTCCTTCAGTTGTTTGTGCTTTCTGTGCTAAGTGTGAAAATGTGGCTGAACGCTTTTGCCATTGCTTTTGCAGCTCTGTTGCCAAACTCCTGAGTAAATGAGCCAAAACCAAACAAACTGACATTTTAGGCAGCAACAAGGATCACAAATACCAGCAAAAAGACCCACCAAAGACCAAAGCAATACACTAACACCAAACACATACATATAAAATCGTAGGCAGTGGCATGACAAATTGACCGAAAACTACGAGCCTATTACCATTACCCCAAAGAGAGATTTTTGGCCATGGATGGTCGTGTAACAGAAATCAAAAAGCAGGAAGGACGTATCAAATGAAATACGGTGGCAAGAAGCGAGCCAAAAGGATACACATGCACATCCCTTTACGCACACATACACGTACATGCGTAAACACATACACTTAAAGAAATAACGTATTCGAAACATTGAAACTGAGCGTTATTCTAAATGGGCCGCATTCAAAAATTTATTGCAATTTTCGAAGACTTTTTGTTTCAATTATTTAATTTGAAAGCGTTTCTAATTGGAATTTATGTTCTATTATTATTATTATTATTATTATTGGTTATATATTATTATATTATTTCTATTTATTATTATTTACATTATTAATAATAGATTAAAAAAAAGAAAATAACATTCCGTCTGATATTTAGAATACAAAATATGTTCAGATGCAAGCAAAATTTTCTTGCATTGAATGCTCAAAGAGGTTTACAAAAAGTTAAGTAATTTGTCATTTATAAGAGTAGATTTAAAGGATAACTTATATATATTTATTTATATTTATATATATATATATATTTATTTGTTATTAATTTCAAACTTAATAAATACAACAAATGGTTATTTTATTTCCAACATTTTCGAAAATAATTTGACTCGATGTTTATAAGTAAATTTAGAATTATTGAAAAAATAAATTTAATGTTAAGTTGCTAAGATCGTTAACGATTATTTTTCTGTGTGTAAATATGTACATATGTATATGTGAGCCACATGCAAAGAGAATTTTAGCCGTTTGCACAGACAAAACGATGCAATAAATACAAATTACATCATGGCTGGGCACATGATTCGCAGTTGATGAGGAGAGCGCGAGAAAAAGTGAAAAGCAAATCAAATAGACCAAGAGGCGACAACAACAACAACACGACAAGAGCAGCAACATTAGCTGCTTCTAGCAAAAGAAGGAGAGAAGGTGCTGCCGATAATGGTTATAGCCATGAGCCAACCAACGACCAAACACATTCATCCACAAGCGAACAAAAGGCAGATTGGACAACGAGGTGGCGGCGCATTGCCAAATGACTGCAAATAATGGTTGTGCTGTTCATAGCAAAAATGGCTGACACACACACACACACACATACACACAAGCACGCAAGCACTCCCAACACACACACACACACATGAATGCAGAGACTCTGAAGAGAAGAAGATAGCCATGAGAGAAAAAATCCAAATCTATTGTAGGTCTCGCACAAAGCCCAAACATCCATGTCAATGTTGGCCATGAGTGTGTGTGTGTGTGTGTGTGTGCGTCTGAATCGCATGAATAGAAATCCTTTATGCTTTAACTTGTCGTTAGATTAACGCAAATGTGGCCGCGCATACATAATTCCTTGCCTGTCTTGCCGTCTTCGAGGCAGTCAAGAGTTTGGCACGAGTTCCGCATTTGGTTTGTGGAACTCCGGATACCTGTTGGGTGCCTTAGCGATCCCAACGCGACAATGGTGTCCCGTTGAGTGTGTTGTCGTATGGCTCTTTAAAAAAAGAAGAAGAAGAAAAAAACAGACACACACACACACACCCATTCTTCTGTGTATGTTTAGCATACAAATTAGCTCAACCGGAAATGCGAAAATCACTTTTGGCAGCGCATTATGTCTTCCCTTTCTCCTTTCGCAGCAACGACAGCTTTTACCACATGCTGTGTTTTTTTTGCTCGTTCCCTTTGCATAAGTACACAAATACTACATACATACATGCACACTTATACATATAAAAGCAAAGTGTTAGTTGCTCTCGGCTTGGATAAAAGAAAATTCAATTTGTTACCGAAAATGTAAATGACTTCTAGTTTTCCTTTTCCTTTTACTGCCTCTACCCAATCGCCTCTGCCAACCCAAAAGTGCTACCAAATTGGAGGCTATGCTTAAGATGTTGTAATATGAGGTCATTTAAGGCGAGATTCAGAGTGAAAATCGTCGGGTAAACGCAAATGAAATTTACAACTTGCCAAATTAACTGCACATCAACACTCATGCGCCCACGCCTGCCTCTCTCACCAACAGACAATAAACGAGATTGGAAAGCTGATTACGTTCGGTAGATGGTAACTAAATTGTCGATTATTTCTTGGCCCAACGGCCGAATTTTTAAGTCACACATGCAAATAAAATCAAACCTGCAAAGGCAATAAGGTTTAATGGCAAATGAATTTATTTTAAGATATCTCAGAGCTCGTTTCTTTGTTTCAATAAATTGAATTGGTTGCCGTCTAAATTTAACTTGCCGTATTTAATACTATCGTATAGAGTATAAATTATAGAAAAGTGTATTAAATATTTATAAAAGTACGTGGAACACCGTAGTTGCTTGTTTGAGGACAACTGTGTTTGCGAGTGATTATGTGGAAAAAGCTAACTACTCCAGTTTGTAAAAAGATTTGCAGCATTTAATTGGATTTTTGGAGCAATTGACATTAGTGTTGAGAGTTTAGGGATCCGTTTAACTATAAGCAGATCCTTTAACAGATACACTTCCCATCAGATGTCGCAACTTTTCAATTATTCCTTCGAGCTAAAATTTATTTCAAAATTGAAATGAAAGTATTCATAAACATTTTCTTGTCAGCTAAGGCTACTTTTATTGAAATTACATCTGTTTGGAGGATAACCAAAAACAGAGCAGAATATGCTCCTGCAAAACTATAGAGTATTTGTAAATTTCTTTAACAAAAAGGTATATTGTTTGTAGCAAATGGAATCATAGAAAACGAATTAAAGCTCGTATTCAAAGCAATAAAATTAATTCAAGAGCCCACCAACTACGTTCTATTCTCTTCAGCTCAAGTATATTTCTGCTCACTATTTATGAGACAAAAGCAAATTTGTGATAAGAAAGTAGAGCTAGAGTTGATTTAATAAAAGCACGAATTATCAAAACAAAACAAAAAAAAAAACAAAAAAAAAACCATTTGACAAAATTTAAGAAAAAACACAACTAAAGGACCTTTTTTAGATTTAAGATTAAAATTAATATAAAACATAGTACAAATGTAGAAAAAGAGAGGAACTTAATATTATTTGAAACATCATTTTGGTAACTACATTTTGTTCATTATAGTAATTGTATTTGTTAACAGATTTTTGACCGTAATAGAGTAGATTGAAATAAAAATACTAAAACCCTCAGAAAGACTGGCTGCTTGGCTTATAAATTAAAATGTATAAATTAGCTAGATGAAGGCTTTATAGTTTGCTGTTATAAATCAAAAAACGGTTGTTGCTAGAATTCTGTTGTTCATGGCCTTTTTGTCAAGTCCTGTGACCCAAATAGATGGCTCCACCACTTCTATGTGGCTTTAAACATTTAATATTTTACTTTCCTGAGCTCATATACATTGCACACACACAAACACACACACACACAAACACACATATTCAAGTACTGCAATATATAGTAGGTAGATCAATGTCATGTCGTTCGGCCTGCAAGCGAATTTTCTTCTAAATCACAAATAGGAATATTCATGGGTCGTTCGTTCGGCCGTTGCAGTGGCATGCTCTGGGTTTTTTTTTTATTCATATCAATTAAGAGGGGGACTCCCCTGCCCCACCACCCACCACTCACCCCTGTGGCAGTTATCTTGGCCATTGCGCCCAATGCCGTGCAAGTTTCATGTGCACTTTTTTTTGCCTCCTGCAATTGTGCTTATACAAACACACACATGTGCATGTGCATGTGTGTGGGTGGGTGTGTGTGTGTGTATGTGTGTGTGGATGTGTGTGTGGATGTGTGCTGCTGTACGCAAACACGAAATTTAATTAACTTTTTTCCCTTTCGCTTGGCGTTGAAGCAAGTAGCGAGCGAGAGTGATTTAACAAGCCGCACGCTAAAGTTTTCTCGTTAAAAAACTTGCGAATGCAGTAAAAATTTCTTTGTCGTGGTCAAAGAGAGTTTTCAGTTTTTCAATGGAAATGCAGTGCCCACAATCTGAATGCAATTTAGTGAGTAATTTCAAATGCAGCAACCGCATGTAAGATGCAAAGATCTCTTTCGGCATACAACTGTTTGTTAAGCTTCTCCCCCCCACCCCCTAACTCAACGGACACAAAGGTCCAGATCCATGCATGGCATGGCCATGGCATTTAAATTCACGAGAGTAGCCCCCAACAACTTTTTTCATTTGCCGCTTGACCTTTGGCTTTGCGCCTTCATTTTAATTGCATTCGCACTACGCCCAGGGTCTGGGTCTTGGTCCGAGTCTTATGTAAGTACTATATATATACGAGTATATGACACTCACCAACAACTTGGAGCTGCACACGGGCGCTCACTTTCGGCTCTGTGGAGACCTGGCACTCGTAGGCGCCAGCATCGCGCGCCTGCACATATTTGATTTGCAGGGTCCAGTATTTGTCTGGCTGCTTGAGCGCCAGAAATCGCTGGTCGGCTATGAAGACAGCTCTGCAAAAGAAACAGAGAACATTTGGTAAAAGGTTAATAAAATAGAAAGCAATAATTGTTAATGGAAAATGGGATAGGCTGGTAATTGGTTCACACTATTTCTAAACTGCATCTTTAACATTAGTCATAAAATGTTTTTTTCATGTATATATTCGTATTGGTTATTTGTAATTTTAAATCGTATATATTTAATATATACGTGCTTGAAAAATTGATTCAAATGGTGTAGAGAATACTTCGTAATGCCTGTAACATGGTCAGCAGACCATTTGTCCCTGGGCTCCATTTTATAGCAAACAAAATATACAATTTTTGTATTAAAATATGTCAAAACAAACTAATATTTTAGAATAAAAAGGACTACAGAGCCTAAGATCAGAATAAGTCATCATTTCCTTCGTATTATGTTTCGTCAGAAATAAAATAAATAAATACCTAAACTGTTTCAATTCGGCACATATAGTAGAACCCATCACACGTCTACCCTAACTCTAACTATATATCTTTTTGCTTTGAACACAAACTTTGAAGAATTTTGCAAGCTTAAATAACTTTTAAGAATAAAATATTTGTTTCGTTTTGCTTCAGCGCCGACGCTTTGTAGTATGCATCGATCGCCGAAGGGCGGTGGGGTGGAGGAGAGATCTAGGATGAACAAAACAGTCAGCCCACTTAAGCCGCTGCTAATGGCCACTCAAAAGACACTCAAAGTTATTTAGTTGCGGCATTTAAACTGTTCCCTAACGTCACTAAGTCGGCAACAAAGTTGTGCATGATGACTGCAACAACAAGTTGTACAACGAAAACAACAACAACAGCAACGCTTGGGCCGACATGCAAATGTCGCACGGGGCGTATGAGCACTAAAATAAGTTGCATTTAATGTCATTGTTGCAATATTTTTGCTGCGTCCCCCCCCCCCCCCCCCCCGCCCCCTTCCGCCAAGCCCCCAACACCCCGGCGACAACAAATATGCCCCAGCACTTTGCCTAAAGTGCAAAAATGTTTCCGTCTCCATGTTTGAAAATGTTGAGAATGCGCCTTCCACTCACATGTGCACTGCTGCTTAAGCACACTGCGCCGACTTTTGACTTTTCCAGCACTATTTTCCCACCCCTACTCCCACGCCCTCATGCCCCCCTTACACCGCCGTGCAAGGACATTGCTGCACTAACAAGTTTTGATACTAAACCCAGATTAGACCCTTGCGTTTTGCACTCATAAAACTCGACATTTTATGACTTTTGCCATTTCCTATGTGCCCCTCTTTTTGCTCGCTTGCTGGAGAAAAAAGAAGGGAGGGAGAGGCAGAGGGACGGAAGTATAGAAGTATAGCACAGCTCGTAGGGTAACTCCAACCTGATTGTCCGTGTTTTTCTTATCAAGATTTTGTAGTTACTTTATAATTTTCGTTTCGTTTAAAAGTTTCCACTTTCTACTTTTTCTCCCACATTATTTGCCATATTTTTAGATCATTTTCCCAACGCTTTGTTGGCTTTGCTGTTTGCCCGGTTTTCTTCGCATTTTCTTACTCAAGTGCTACGAAGTGACCCGTTACGGCATAAGTTTCCGCCTGCAATTTATTGCCGGCCAACAACAACAACAACAACCACAACAAAAATGTGTGCGGGCCACATAAAAAGTTTCGTCATGTATGGCCAATGCACATGTAAAAATATGTTTGATATCCGTAGAAGAAGAGGCATAAAAACTTGTTAATAAAACAGTCAAATACACATACATTCATACAAGTATATATGTACGAATATTATGGCAGCAGATTTGAAAAGTTTGGCGTAGGTTAAGTGACATTTGTAAACTTTAATTTTGTGGCATTGCCCCGATGGGAATGCAAGCACAGCATGTCGCTGGAAAATGCCGCTTTCTGTGGCAGAGGCGTGTAGTGAAAAGGCACTTGGCCAACATTTGAAGCCAGAAAAACAGCCAAGCAGTTCCTCTTTTGCCCCAAAAAATTTCTTGCACTTCACTCCATAGAATTATAATCTCTTGTCGGCACAATATAGCTCCTTTATTGCAATCTGTTCGCTTTTATAAGTATATTTGAGGCTACAATTTCAATATATACTATATTTCGAAAAAGGTTAAAGATAATTCTTCAAGACTTGCGGAAGATGAAGGTACACGTGATCAACCGATTTGAGAAATCAAAAATTTCAAACTATAGTAAATCTTGAAATAAATAAACTAGTAGATTAATTAGTTTACTTTTTCGGAATACAAATAGTTTACGTATAAATTGTGTCATTTATATGTAGATTGCATCGAAAGTTAAAGATTTATCAAACTCGCAGTAGGTGTAAAAATAATAATATAACATCGACATGTAAAGTAAATAATCTGAAAAAAAATAAATATAAATCATATCTCAAACGTCCTGAAAAAAGTGGAAAATCTTCAAAATTAAAGTTTCATTTTATTTTACAGCTAAATATTGGTTTCTGAGTAAGAAATCTATAATAAACAAATGAAAATCTAAGTCGGACGCCTTCACTTTGAAATAGCATTTGCATACTTATATACCAAAAATGGCATGGACCTTGACGGACAAAGCAACAACCGGTCACATGACAGGCGTCCTGATGATTAGCTTGCAAACAGGATAATTGAGTGGTCAATGGCATGCATGTCAGCAAGCAACACACGCCAGCAGTCTTAAGCATGTGCAGGACTTGCACTCTTTTCTCAAAGGAGTGTCCTGCGCTACAATGGCGACATCGGCAAAATATTCAATCTAAATTTGTAGGCACGTCCATGAATATCCCTCACTGATGACATGCAACAAACCCATGCAGCTAATGACAAGAACAAAGGACATGTTAGGAAGTGGCAGCGGCCATAGGAGCAACAATATTGCAGGCGAAAAGGGCAGCAGCTGCTATTCCTGCTGCCAACTACAAGATAAGGACATTTGTGTGAAAGCTGAAAACAGAGGCAATCGACTCTGGCTAATCCTAAATTCGAGTACATAACGAGTTTCTAATTAAAACAGCAATTTAGGTTCTGCAAGAATTTAAACATGCAATTTCATTTAAAGTCTTATTGTCACTTGTTTAGATGTGAGTTTTAAAATTGGAGAATTTAATTTATTTTTAATTCTAATAAGTACAACCTTGATGTAATGAACGAATAAAGATTTGCAGAGATATTATTTGAAACACTAATTACACTCATAATCGCATAAAACATATTCTTTAATCTATTCCCATTGCAATGTATACCGTATTCCATTCCCCAATCTGTCTCTCTAGGAGTTCTTTATCTTATTTATTCATACTGACTGACAGATGGACAACAATCTCTTCGGCTTTTCATGGTGATCAAGAATATACTATATATACTTTGTATTACATTTTTCACTTTGCTCAAGCCTCTTCTACACTTCAGATACGGAATATAAGTATGAGCCTCATTGCCACACAGCAAGGAGTTGCCCACATAAGTATGCAACGTTTTAATCTGTTGGCCCATTAGGTAGATCTTGTAAAATTCTTGTAAAATTGCAGTAAGCCCTCAAGCTACACAACACATCACTCGAAAGGCACACTTGAACTCTGGCTTATCGGACTACATACTACGAGTACTTCCGTGAGAGTGTCAAAATAAATATTTGCTTATGCAGGAGACGTGAGTCGCTCCGTAGTGTCATTACCAGTACGGCTGTCAGGCTTGCAATAAATTACGCCAGTAGAAAGGAGGTTCAGGTAACAGCTGCCGTAATTACCCACGGATAGCAGAGGAGAGCTGCACACAGACCGGCGGTCGACAGAGACCGGCGCTTCAAACCAAGTGCAAACAGAAATAATCTATTGCTGGTCTGTAAGTTCTAAAGCATGCGTCCATCGGTGCAACAAAAGCGAAATGCACATGACATTTATATGATAGTGTAAACACATCATTTGCGCTATTATATAAACATACACACACACACACACACATTTATCTCACATGGAATGGGGCAGAGCGAGCTAAAAGTTTTTGAAACCTATTCCCATTATGTTTGATATGCCGAGGAGCAGATACAACCAGGCAGCCAGATGGTTTTCTTTGAAACGCACAAAAACGAAGAAAACTTTCTAGATAAATGTGACATAAGACATTGGAGCAGGAAGCACATAAAGTACTCACAAACACACACACACACACACACAGATACAGACACTACTTCATAGCCATGCACAGAACCAACTGACAGCGGAAGTAGGAATGCAGGAAGGCTGTCTGGTTGACTGGTCGGCAAACAGAGAGCAATGGACACTAAAAAAAAACACCATTATTTTCTTAATTCGAAAACTATATAAATTCTCTCATCAATTATAATTATGTCTTCATTTAAAAATTAACTCAATCAGTCATTAAATTCAATTTATTAACAAAATACTTTCATTTCAAATGGCATCGACGTTCGTGAAAACTTTTTATAACTATCTTACTGTTATAAATTGTAAAAAAAATATATATATATATTTTGATTGGCAAATAAAAGTAATGATAATAATTCGTTGCTCCTTTAAAGTACTTTATTTTTATGGCAGAGGTGAGGAACAATTACATCGTAACCTATAGCTAATGGATAATTGTTTACATTTTTATGGTGAAAATAAAATAATTTGATTTCATTCATTTCACAATAAAAAAAAAAAAATAATAAAAAAATAAAATGGCATCATAAATTGGTGTGTATCTATAATTAGTTAATAATAACTTATCAACTTAAATATATACTATAAAGTGTGTTTCAGAGTGAACGGACAGTTTCTAATATATAAAAAAAAGGCGGGGGAAAAATTCATAAATTCAAAAATTAATCAAAAACCCATGAGTAGTTTACTTATATCGAAGACTGTTTTAATTAAATTTTTTGAGACAACTAAGACATAAATGTCTTTTCATCATGTAATAGAAAAAAAATTACCAAAAAAAAGCAACTGCCCAGCGAAATCAAATTTAAATGGATTTTTGGAAGAATAGTTTATATTTATGCAAAATTAATTTTATTGAAATCTTTACTTATTAAATTTATTAATTCATATATTATTTTTCTGAGTGTGCTGCCCTGCACTCGACTGCTGTAGGAAGCAATCAGTAGGAACAGTGTCTCGGTTAAATTTCTATGGCCATGTGCTTGCTGGTAGAAGACCAGTTGCAAGTCATTCATTCCTGCCAGCCAGCCATTCAACTGTTTGCCACTCTTCGCAGACAAACACATGTGAAGGAGAGGAAGAAGGACAAGAAGAGGAGCAAGAGGAAGAAGAAAAACAAAAACAAATATAAGTGCAAACATGCTGCTGCCACCTTATCTAATGTGAAAGCTTCATTGGTTTTACTTTTCTATCAAAGTAATAAGCTGGAGATGTTTGTTGGCCCACACCCAAAAGGCAAACGTTGCTAAAACAGGAAAACATAGAAGAAAAAAGAAAGAAAACCAAATGGTGGACAACCCAAGGGAAATGCTAGTACCATGGAGACACAATTTCAAGTGAAGTTTAGCTGGATTTAGAAAAATGCAATGCAATTGCACACTTTCGTTTCCGCTTCGTCTGTCATACGTTCAGATACATATATGCGTATATATGTAAGTAAGTCGAGACAAGGATTTCGAATGTAAGCACACACACTCACATATGTATGTGCTTAGAAGCCCTCATCGTTCTGCAATATCATTGATGGGACACCAAAGTGGGTTGCTTGTTATTTGAAACGCAGACTGCCGCACAGTGTGTTGCAACTTCCACTGCAACTTATTTAGTGCATCAAGCTGTGCTTTTAATTCATCTTGTTGTTGCAAATCGTTTTCAATTTACTCGGATTCACAAAGTGCCCCAGCATGGACGTAAACTTTTCGGGCAGGAATAAATTATGATTCTGTGCATTTTATGGAATGTTTTTGAATTTTGCCAACAATATTATGCAGTAGTTGGGACTAAACGAAGGCCACATTTTACATATTTAAGTCGGGGGACCAACAGAAAATGAAATTCCATTTTCAATTTAATGTTGTTTAGAATGCGAAACTGACTTTTCTGTGATTTCTTCGACAAAGTTGGGAAGTTGGTTGCAGCTGGAAAATAGGCAACTAATTCAATGTGTATATATCCTTATTTAAAGAATATGAATATAGGAGAGAAGAAAGCCAAATAAATTCAATGAAATATCATTTCTAGCTACTTAAATATTTTATAGACAATTCAATTAATTTAAACGTATAACTGTCATTCACTGATTTTGGTTTTTTTATATTCTCATTTAAAGAATATAAATATAGCAGAGAAGAAAGCCAAATAATTTTAATGAAATATAATTGTCTCATTTTTCATTTCTACATATCATTCACTTATTTTGGTTTTGTTAGTTACAAAAGTTGATTAAATATATTAAGAAATAAAACTAACTTATTGCAATGGATGACTTTAATAGCTCGTTAATGTCACATTAATAAATTTTATTTAAATTGAACCAATAGTATAAACAAATTTCTATCGAAAAATGAATATTCACATGGAAACTGTCCATAGACTATGTACTTCAAATAAAATTCAATTGCTTACAATAAATTCGAACTCGAATTTGTAAACAATTATTTAATAATTAATTGTGCATGAAAAATACAATTAATTTGCGTATTTTTCGGGTAAAAAAAAAACATGTATTTCTGTGTTGTAAACCAGTTCATTATTATGGAAACTTAAAACTATAAGCGCATTATTAAATATCCCTCCACTTTAACATCAAAATTTATTTGAAAATATTTTCAACAATGAAGGAAATTAATGAATATGTTTTCAAAACAGCAATTCTAATTGAATTGGAAACTTAAGCCGAATGGCATAATAATTATTTAAACTTCACTTCGCATACATTTTATTTTAAACTCTCACAAAAAGGAATGCTGGCAGCGTGTTAACTAACAGCAATGCCATTCATACAACGGTCGACTAAAATTAACACCATTTATTATTTAGCCTTAAGATGATTGTAAAATTGCTTTCGGCCTAAGCTGAATTCACTCTGCGAAGAGCTTTAAGTGGCTTCTGTTTTGCACTTGTATAATAATTACATATATGAGCATACCTAGAGTTTGGTCAGTTCGCATTGCAAAGGGCAAAAGGGATAATAAATACTGAGAAGCCTGCCATGCTGAAATGCGCTTACCAAAATTGTCAGCACAGATTTCGAGGCATTAATTATCAATTGCAATTTGGAAGATATTCGTATTCGTGTACGAGTATAAAATATATATTTGCTCACACTTGCGAACTCGACAAATGCAGTTCAGCTGGCCAATACATAAACTGGCTGCAGGAGAAAATTGAATATATACGTACATGATTCTAAATAAATAGTGTATTAAATCGGATTGTATGTGTGCTTGTGTGTTATTTCTTGAATAACACATTCAGCATCAATTAAAGCAAATAATAATACACATGTGGACTGCCAGGCTGTGTGTCCTTGTTGTGTCATATCAACTGGCACTCAAAACACGTACAAATAAACAGCAGCCTTGATTTAATTTTAGTTCGCATGTCTAACTGAATTATTTGCAATTTTCACCTTATCGCACTCTGAACAGAAAAATGGAGACGCATTCAATAATTCTTAGATAATTCCTCAAACTAATCAACTTAAAAATAATTGAGGAGACAGGAGGATGAGTTCATTAATTACCTGTCAACAGTTAATATGTGACCATCGCGCAGTCGGATCCAGGACACAGATTTGTTGCCAAGTTGTTTCACCTGCAAGAGAGACACAAACAATGATAGCAAATTAGAGTGATGGCAGTAAAGCAAACAAACACACAAACAACAAACAGGAAAAAATGCTCAAAAATGAAAGATGAAACAGGCAATATGTCCACCTGAGTTAGGATGTCAGCTACTATCGATAAATAAATTAGTGAAGCACATTGCACGTGTCCTATGCATGTGTCTCCTTTTACACATGTTGGCACATAAGCTCAATGCCACCAAACAAGTGGCCAAGGACATTGACAGACCGATATGTAAGCATAGTTACCATACAGGTCTGGCCAACCCCACCCAACACACAATACACACATTCGTCGACGCCAAAATACTCTTCACAATCTGTTCTTTTCCCTTTCCTTTATCCCCATTATCTTAGTCGGAATCGGTTAATTGACATTGTTAAAGCGATTTGAACTGAAAACGATTGCGATTCGTTTTTCACATTTTTTTTTAAATTATTTCAATCAAGTATTTTCAAGAAAGTCATTAAAATTTATACTATTTACAAATTAACTTTCCTTAGAAGGACATCTTCCATTTATACAAATTTATTTACAAATTAACTTTCCTTAGAAGGACTTCCTCCATTTTTAGGAATTTTATTTAAATTAATTTGTATTCAACTATTAACTTTATGTAATCAATGTAGCTTTTTGGTTATTTTAATTAACATTAATCAGGGTAAACTTTTATTTAATAATTTGTTATTCCGCATTTATATTAAATTATAAAGAAAATAATTAAATTTTGAAAATTAAATTTAATGATTTTAATATAAATTTATTCATTTTTTAAAAAATTATATTCGTTTCTCGTCTTTGGAGGATTTTGAAAATATTTCATTCTAATTGTCAACGAAATTCATTTATTTACCTATTTTTAGACATTTTAAAAAATATAATAACTTGTATAATTTTGTATTGTATTGTTCTCTCAAAATGTGTGCAAAATAATTCTCCATCATATATCCTGACTTTTTTTTAAATTTTCTTCAACTATGATTCCTAAACTACATAATCCCATACTAGTCTTCAGATAAATCTTAATGCAACCCTTTAACGAAATACGATGTTTTGAAAAAATATTCTTTCTAATTTTGTATAATTGTTCTCCCCATATTTGTGCGAAAAAATTCTCCATCATATATACTGACTTTGGTTTCGTATTTTCTTCACTGAAGAATCCCATACTTTTTTTCAGATAAATCCCAATGCAACCCTTTAACGAAAGACGATGTTTTGAAAAATGATTCTTTCTAATTTTGTATAATTGTTCTCCCCATATTTGTGTGAAAAAATTCTCCATCACTTTGGTTTCAAATTTTCTTCACCTAAGATTTCTAAACTACAGAATCCCATACTAGTCTTCAGATAAATCCCAATGCAACCCTGTCAGTACTGTACTTTAACGAAAGACAAATGTTTTGAAAAATGATTCTTTCTAATTTTGTATAATTGTTCTCCCCATATTTGTGCGAAAAAATTCTCCATCATATACCCTGACTTTGGTTTCATATTTTCTTCACCTAAGAATCCCATACTTGTCTTCAGATAAATCCCAATACAGCCCTGCCAATGCTGTACTTTTACGAATTACAGTTGAGCTCGCCTCTTCCTTAACTTTCTTCCACGGTTGCTAAGCGTTACGAGCTTTCATGAGCCAGCGCATGTAACACTTTTGGAAGGGTATGGTAACTGCCACTTGACCTGCCACACGCAAGACTCGTTCTTGCATCACACGGTGAAGCGTTTCCAAAGAAGCAGAAGCAGCAGCACCAGTGTCGTCAGTATACGAGCATGGGGAAGCAGTCGCCTCCCACTTATCCCCTGACTTGTAAGCCCAAGCCTTTATGAGCTTGACGTTTATTAGAAGCTCCCTTCAAGCGACAGCTCTGATTAAATTTGGCACGGTGTTGTGTTCACCCCCTCAGCTTTCTTTTCACTCATCACCAGCTTCAATTGGCACAAGGAGCTCGAGCTGTGGATGTAACAGCTGCCTGCCGGATTTACAAACATATCCTGCATGTTAATGAACTTTTGTGTACATACTATGTATGTATATGTACATATCTACTCGTATAGGTACATTTACATGCACATTCATAAGGACATACGAGTTTACTATCGTGTGCATGCATGTATTCGTATTGGCGCTATTGACCTGAGAGCTTGGGCTGCTGTTGTTGCCATGTCCAATTAGTGTCCTAAACCTATTAAGAGCCTAGTCCCAGGTACTGGCAGCTAAAGAGAAGGAAAATGTTGATTGAGCATTCTTTTTAAGCTTTAAAACAGATTTTGTTGTACTATTAAGTATGATGTGAGTTCCCTTTTTTTCAAAAACTTCAATCCACCATCGAACGTATCAGTCCGAGCTGCGAACAAACACGATAATTAATACTAGAAAACATTAATTTTTCATGAAAAATTTAACATAATGCAAGAGTTCTTGAAAGGCATATTATTATATTTTACTTTATTTAAATTGCTTTCGAAAACACTCCATGTCGCATTATTGATGATTATATAAGTAAAAAATCCTTTTTCAAAACTATCTTTTTCGCGTAACGTGATTTTTTTGTTTTTATCGAACGTTCCTTAAGGCAGTTGGCAGCTCTGGTATTGGGAAACTGGAAACTGAAATTAAAGCAATCGATAGTTACTTATCCCATTGTGGGGATGCACAAAAAAATCGATGCATCGATGTTTTCCGATGGTTTTTTGCTAATAATACATCGTCGATCCATCGATGTTTGTCCAAACATCGAACATTATTCATGTTTGTTCGGTGGTTTACCGAAGAAGGTATATTTGTATTATAAATTATTTGATGTTTTAAGTAAATTTTAGATTGTTAAGCAGTTGATCTTCATATTTCATTTATAATGTTACTCTTAATATGCTTAAAAGATGTAGATGCTACGCGTCGTTATTTTTAAAGCTGCATATAATCAATTTTTTAAAGTAGGCCATACAAGTTCATCAAAAGTCAAATTTACGCGTACTTTTTGATTAACAACATTAAGTAAAATACTAGGACAGCCTCTCTTGATGTATAAACATTTTTTATTTCAAGCATCTCTGTTGATTTTCTCCCTAATATTTGCTTTTGTTTCTATGGAAAGCTAAATTTGTAAAACATTGATGCCTCGACCATGCATCGATTTTTTATAAAGCGACATCGATGTACATCAACATCGATGTTTTGCCTTCGACTTACATCCCTATTCCATTGTATATTAATGTGGTTCCCACCTCTAAATAATAATCAATGTGCACAGCAACCTTTGCACGTCCGAAATTTGTTATTGTCATTTGTGAATCTAAAGTTTAGTGCGAAGAATGAGTCTTATGCCGTTTTTGGATGCCAAACGTAAGAGACGGGAGGCGTTTGTGAGGGATCAGAGAAAGTGCCTGAGCCGGATTCCAAATAATATAATGCAGGAAATTTTGCGTATGCGCGCTTTGGAGGGCTCGGGCGATGAAATAGACGTGGAAATGCCGATTCGGATAATGCGATGGCTTCAACGGTGGTGGAATAATATGGAGGATCAGCGTCGACGACCGGAACAAGAGCGTTTCTACCGCAAAAGTAAGTTGCATGTCATGGGAAGTCGTATCGTAAATATCAACAAAATAATACCAATACTGTCACGACAGAATCGTGGACTCTCATGAGAGCTGCCGACCCAGGAAGTATGCCCATAAAAATGAACGGTCATTTCCGCGCCTTGCACGGATACAACAACGTCAACAAGAAAAAGATCTGTAACATTCTGAGAATTATTGACCACAACGTGGAAGCTCGCACCTTTTGGGAGCAAAAAGTGAAAACCAGGGCTCTTAGCGTGTACTTTTTCGTGCCCGATGACAAAAAGCAACGCATACAGGCCCAGAATTGGCATAAGAAGCTTCTGTATAATAGGTCGGTGGGAATTGCCACTGCGGTGTGTCGTGAACGATACTCCCTCTATTTGATGCCAATGGAACCAGGAAAATGGTATAGCCATGCCCTAAGATGTGTAAACACCTCGGGACCGCGTCGTTTTCGCGTCCTAAAGAAATGCCTTGCATTGGTGATGTTCCTTAAAACACTAACACATGTTCAATAAAAAATTTAAATTTAAGAAAGTGTTTTATTTTTTAGGCCGATGTTACTGCAACTTTTCGTCAACAGGCTGCTCCATTTTCGTTTACAATCCAAAATTAGCATAGAGTTACTCTCTAAGGGAAAAATAGTAATGCGCTCTAAATTAAATTACGATTTCAAATGCCATCAGGAATCTGAACGAAATTCCAGCTCGATGCGCTTCCTTCTGTGTGTAACAAATATCTGCGAAATCGGACTCGTAGCATACCCCTACATATGTGTATATAGAGTATTTGTGGCACCAAAAACCCATTAACTACTAAAGCAGATGGTCTATTCGATTGCACAAGAGGAACACAACTTCACAAGATATACGCTCCATTAAGCCGACGACATCGAACAGCTCTGAGTGTTTGGTGATATCAACAAGTGGATGATGCCATAGGTTAGAGTACTAGGCCGGGTAGGGGCACGTCGATGCCAAAGTTGCCGCAGATGAACCAAGAGTAGATTACTGCGCCAAAATGTGTGCAATGCTTTATAAACAAAACGCTCAACAGCCACAGCAACTACATTGAAATGTAATTAAATACCGAAATGAACATGAAACTTACCAGGCAGACCGCATTACCCGCCCACCTTCCCTTTCTATTCGATATCATTGAAATGTGTCGTAGTTAGTAAATTTCAAATGCATTTGCCACACACACACACACATATGGGTGTCTCATACCTATGCCACCCATGGTGGTGCAGTCGCTTTGCTATTTACAACAAAATTATTTAGCCTATTCAACACTTTGCATCTGATTTTCACATGGAATGCAAATCCATTAAATGTTCAGGCATGTCGTCGCTCTGTAATTCAGTTGTAATAGGTGGCATCGGCTCATTAGACTGCCTCAATTGGATGTGTGTGGGAAGTGTATTTGAGGACAGGACAGTTGCTGCTTAGTCGCATTCTAATTGCATTCGTAATCTATATATCTAATATCACTGCTATACTTAGTTTGCATTACTAAACAATGGGAGGTCGTAACTTTTCGAACTTCTAGCCAGCTTTGATCAAGCGCACCAATTCATGTCAGTTGACAAGTGGGCTTTGAAATGAAATAACTCTATAGATTTCTTATTGATTTAAATTGATGCAACATCTCAGTTATAGCATCAACTGTACACCATTTGTCAAGCTTGCTTGTCTGACTAAAGATTTCTTGTAAAAGGCCTGCTTCTATGTGGAGCATAAACCTTAATTTTACGAAATAGTGCAAGCACTTTAAAGTCTCAAATGAAGTCGGCTCAAATATTTAAAGCAAGCTCAGTCTACAGCTACAAGCTATTCGTGAAGGACGTTTTAAAAACATTTCTAACCAATTTCTTTTCCGGAACTATATTTGCTTTAAGAACAGAACATTTTTAAAATATTTCTGATATTTTAAAAACTTTTCTAACTAAATCAGGTATATTATTAAGGTCTTTTTTCGGAACTAAAAACAACAAATTTACTTTAGAGATAATTTTTTTAATATTTCTGACATTTTAGGAACATTTCTAACTAAATTGGTGATATTATTAAGCTCTTTTCCAGAACTATAAGCAACAAATTTACCTTAGGAAGAGAACATTTTAAAAATATTTCTGACATTTTAAAAACATTACTAACCAAATCGGTGAAATAGTATTTTTAAGCTTTTTTCCGGAACTATAAGAAACATATTTACCTTAGGAAAAGATCATTTTAAAAATATTTCTGATGTTTTAAAAACTTTTCTAACTAAATCAGGTATATTATTATGGTCTTTTCCGGAACTAAAAACAAGAAATTTACTTTAGGAAGAGATAATTTTTTTTAATATTTCTGACATTTTAGGAACATTTCTAACTAAATCGGTGAAATAGTATTTTTAAGTTTTTTTCCGGAACTATAAGAAACATATTTACCTTAGGAAAAGAACATTTTTAAAATATTTCTGATATTTTGAAAACTTTTCTAACTAAATCAGAGATGTTATTAAGTTTTTTTTCTGCAACTACTTTACTTAAATCGCGAAGACAGATCACCCTATAGCTTTTTTCTAGACAGCATCTTTAAATTGCAAGGAGAGGCCACCTCGCATTTGATAAAAACTCTAAAGATTTCCCGTTTTAAATTGGTTTTCTTCGGCTCAAGCGACATATGTAAGCAGCTAAAATGCAGCTCAGCGATTAGAAAACAAAACAGCTTCTGTAAATATTTAGCCTGACCCAATTGCTTCGTGTTGTGTCCTTCACCTGACGTCAAAAAGGGAAGCCAATTTGCAAAAGGCTCGGCGCGACACAGCCTGGCTCAAACAAGAAGTCACTCAACTGTGGCACTAAATGCTGGATTTGAACAAAGAACGGGCTGAATGGGGGCGGCATGCAGATACTACGGATGACCATGAGGGGGCCGAAATGGTGGGCGTGGGCTGAGAGGCGTAAAGTGTAAAGCGAACGAGTAATTGAAGAAAATTGAGATGCCAGCTTCTCGCTTTTATTTGGAATATGGACGCATGAGCTGTGCCGGCTGTCTAGGCTGTGCGGTCGCCTTTGTTGCTTAAGTTTGTGAGAAAGCACTTAATTGACCATGACAACGAAAAATTAACATTGTTCTGGTGGAAAATTACAACACAACACAACAACGAGGATGACATCCATTAAATGTTTCTCCCACTTCGTCTGGCCAGTTGCCCTCCACCTGCCCCAGACGCACGATTAATGTCCATTTTGTGGAAATGTGTGTGTGTGTGTGTGCGTGTTTGGGGAGCGAACTCAGGAATTTAAATTTCATTTTGGCTGCGAGCGAAATTCATTTTACACAGCCAAGCAACTTTCTCTGAATGCCGTTATTTATGTCGGTCGCTTGGAAAAGGCCTGGAAAGCGAATGCCAACGGCTCTTTGTCGTGGAACGCGTCTTAAGTGGCGTTCAAATTCCACTCGACCATAATAATTGGCTTTGAAGTGGTCGCCGTGTCGCGCCAATTATTTGTTTTGATTGCCTTTCCAGATCAAAGAAGATAAACAACCGCTCAATGGCGGCAATCACAATTATCGGCTAAAAACTAAATAATTCCATGGAAGCAGCAACAGCTGCCTGTTTTGTCTTTTTGGAGCTTCTCTAGGATTAAACAATTAATGTGTTTTGGTATTCACTAGACGACAAGGAATAAGGAATCACAAATTGCTAAATAATTGACTTTTAAACGTTATTTTAAATTTCTTTACTACGCAAGGTGACGCTGTTATAGCTCATGAGTTTGATTTTTCCTTGATATTATAAGCATTATACCAAAGAATAGTAGAAAGTTCGAGATTTGTAAAGTTATAAACAAAATAGTTGTAAACAAAAGTTAGTAAGTTATAAACAAAATAGTTCCCGGAATAGCTTCTTGATTTTTTATATTTTAGATATTTTACAGCTTATTTATTACAGCTTGACAAAATTATTTATTTAGGCACTTATTTGACTTAAATTAGCTCCCACATCATAAGCCTACAGTTTCTTTTTTTAAACAATTTTTTCTACAAACTATAAGCAGTTTTTTAAAGTATTTCAACACGTTAGGAGCTTTAGAAGTTTTCACATTAGGCGGAACTTTTGCGACTCAGTTGTAGAGTTGTAGATTTCGTTATATTGGCAATTATGTTCACAAGAAAACTATATATAATGAATTAAATGGTAAGCCTTTTTATATACAAGTATATTCAAGCACCACAAAAATAGCATAACTTTTCAACTTTCAAATTCAAAACTTTCCCAAATTGTCGTTTCCCCAGTCTAACCCCTAACATTTTTTAGAATAAGAATTCAGCAACAAATATGTTACAGCTGTAGGAAATATAATAGACCCCTTGCCCTCTCTTATTTTGCCTTTGGCGACTACACTCATAATAAATGAAATTCCTTTCCGTGGCTTTCGTCACTATTATGTGCTGCTTTTCCCCGTTGTATTTTTAAATTTATGTATTTTTAAATGCAAACACTCCAAATATAATAAACACATCACGAAATGTGTTCATTTTTTATTACAGAACAACAACAACAACAACAAAAAGTAAAAGCAAACTGTTTAGTCATGCAAGTGGGCTGATTTCCCAGTCCCAGATCAGCTCCGACCCACCCCTGGCCGACCTCAAAAGCGGGCCACGTGCCAGGAAAATGTCGTGAAACTAATTTGTTTAAATTTAATTTTTGTTTTAGACACGCCCCAATAAAATATTTACAACTTCTAAGCAAACACTTCGCACGGCTGACAGAAAAAAATCCACAGAGGACGCCCACACAGGACGAGGCAGTCTCATAAACACCTGCGCAAACAGACCCACGGCCCCAAACACGTCTGAGAACATAAATTGGTCGAATTTGCCTTTCAGCTTTCTGTTAAATACACGAAGCTGTCACACAGCTCCTCCTCCTCCTCGACCAACAAATATTTGTACAATAAAATTTAATGTGCTTCCTATTAAGCAAACCAAAAGCGCTAAGAAGGCCGTTAGGAAAAGGACAATAAGGAGAGGGAATTAAATTGCTCAAATTAGTAATCAAAAGAAGCAAACACGCAATCGAGGTGTTCAAAAATAACTATCCCCAAAAAAACACAACATGGATTATAAAGGATTCGCACAAGCTACTGAATCGGGACGATCTGAACTTACCCGACACGGCAGATAGGCGTGTGTGCCAATTTGTGTTGTCACATTGGACGTGGCATAGCCATCCAGATAGGGTTCGACCAGAGTGGCTGTCGCCGACAGTGCAGCGGCCTCTGGGAGCAGGGAGGACGGCGACAACACTTGACCTGCGGTGGAGTATGCATCGACCGATGATGTGTCCACTGCGTCGTTTTCAATGTCCTTGTCGCTGACGCTGCTAAACTGTGCTCTTCCATCGTAATTGCTGGTGGCTGCGACTGTCGTCTGTGGATGTGATGCTGAAATTGATTTGGGAAAGAAGAAAAAAGCGGTTTGCTGTTAATCGAAATGAAAATTTCGGTTTCGTTTATGCAGAGCACATATTATGAGCTTACAGAGCCAGACGTTCATACTTGTAGGCGTCTGCATGGCATAAATTAAAAGATATTGATTTCCCAGCCCAACCCAATGTATCAGTCAGCTTCTCATTTGAGGAAATATGCAATACTATTCTAACACTCGTGTGGAGTAATCCAATTATTGTGAAACGCAAATAGAAACCACTCTTGTGATTAATTCTAAGAACAAGCAGACGAATATGAAAATTGAGTTTACAATTCTTGGAATTAATATTTTGAATTTATTTGCCTGTAAACATTTGCACACAAATTCATCTAATTTTCGAAGCTGGTCAGCAGATTTGAAAACGTCTTTACTTGCAGCAGAAAATTTTACAATTTTTATATAATTGGATATATGTACAGTTTATGCTTTAAATAACTTTACAGACAGCTCTCTATTTGTCATCCAAATTATATAACATGCTGAATCCGATAAAATATTAGAATTTTTGCAACAGCTTAAATGCTCAGCACATTTTAAAACGTCTTTAATTGCAGCAGAAAATTGTACAATTTGTATATAATTGGATACACAGTTTATTTATTTATTTGAAAATTATGCTTTATATAACTTTACAGACAGTTTTTAATTTGTCATCTTACGTGTATTAATATAACATGCTTTCTATTAATCCAAGGAAAAGTAGGAATTTTTGCCACAGCTTAAATGATTCATTCCCTCCACGCTGCAGCTCATAATTGCTCATTATTTAAAATATAATCATCTTTGAAAGACTCAACAAGCTCAGCCTTCAATATTTTTAAATAAGAAATGGCTATGAATTTCTTTTTTAAAAATGATTATCTTGATATAGTTGCCGTTGTTTCCTACTATCAATATGAATTGGATAATAATTGTATTTAATTGCAATAAACTATTTCAAAAACTAAAATATATTAAGACAAATTAGCGAAGCAATTGGGTGTCTACTCTACATTTATAAAGAGATTATAATTACAGACGTATTGAACCCATAATTTCTTTTCATTAAAGTGTAGTAAGTTATTAACCAATATTCGCAAATTTTCGAACTCATTCCGACTCATTGAATCGGACGATTCCACTATTTGTACATTCTAAAAAGTAATTCCTGCAGTAATTGGTTAGCTTAAAAGAAAAAATAATTTATTCAAGATTTTTATGAAATCATAGCTTAATTCCTTTTTCTTGCTTTTTGAATATTTCGTCTTGAAACTATTAATTATATCAGTGCAGAAATGAAAACTACTTTACGAATTCACAAAAGAATTCGCCTGACTTTTAGCATCTTCATTAACAGTAAATTTTATCAATATGAAGAATAACATTTAATCATTAATATTTAATATGATTTTCAAAACGTTTGCATTAACAATTAATACATACAAGTAGTAGGTTTTACACATTCTTCTACCTGTAGCTTGGAAGTTCTAGTCTTAAAATCAATTCTAGTGCTCTTTTTTCTCAAAACTTGGCATTAACAGTTCAATTTATTCGCCAACCAATTTAAATTATACCATTTAAGCGACTAATAATTCACAAAACCATCTGTGTATTTTGAAAAACTGAGCACTGTGGCTGACAGATTGTAAAAAAAAACTATTAGAATCCAGCGTCAGGGACAGCCGCAGCATTAATTAACAATGTGGCGAATTACCGTGCATACGAAATTTTTCTAACTCCAAACCATCCAGGCACACAGCCACTCACACATCGCCTGAAACTGCGAATATAGACACGGATATGCGATGAGATGAGACAGGCTGCCGCCCTAGGAAGCACCTGGAAGCGACAGCCAGCGAGCCTCGCATTAATGTGTGGCCATCCACATACAGCAAATGTATGTATATTTAGCCCTAAAATGGGGAAATGGTTAGCACACACACACATTCTTCAGCCCTCATTCCGCGTCATGTCGATTTGTTTGGTGGCAAATGTCAGTTTTCGGTTTCGAATTAATCAACGCTATTTAAGTGGCTTCAACGCGTCGTCGCCAGCGCCACCCTTTGACTTCCCCAGCACCACCACCACCGCCGCCACCACTCTGTGTGGGAGAGGCACGCAAGTGGAGCACCATGATTTTCGCGCTTCAAAGTTTTTTAATGAATGGCGTTCATTAAAATTGATTGTTGTTTGCGGCGTCACCAGCAACATGGCTGCCCAGACCCCCGCCTGCGCCAGGAGCCGATGATGACTTGGCAGAACTCGCAGTCGCACGCACACGCACCAAACAGCACACAGACCGCCAATCACCGTCACCCCACTCACCACTCCCCCCCCCCCCCCACTCACTTCCCACGCAGGGCAGCCAGCATGTTTGTGGGAAGATTGTTGGGGAGGGGGGAGGAGGGGCGCGGTAGCTAAAACGCATGATATTTGCTGAATTGCCAATTAACTGGCAATTCCTCGAAATGAAATGGCTTTCCACTAAAATGATCTGCCGCCAGCGAGCCGCTGCTCCACTTTCGCGCCCAACTCCCCCCCAGGGGGTGGTTGCATTGCCCATTCCCATTGATTTTTGTGCTCGGGCTCGTGCATTTGGCGGCGTCGCTCTGTTTGTTCAGATATCTCTGGCTGACTTTATTTTTGCCCAATGACTGCGCAAAAAGTTTCAAAAGCACTTTTCGGTATAAATTAATTGTTGTAATGCGACGAATACGTCGTGTGCGCCACCCCTGGTGGCCAGAGGACGAGAGTGGTGCTCGCAAATTGGGTATCGGATATGGGGGGAGTGGTGCGGGTGCGGGGTGCCGGGTGCAGGGTGTTGTTGTGCCAACTTTGACTTTGACATAATTGCGACTGGCACTGACAGTTTGATTTGCTTGAATTTTAGAATGAAAGTTTATAAAAACGCGCACAGATCGATGGATATGGATGAGCGAATGATTGCGTGGGTGGCTGTACAAGTATGGTTGCTTGATTGGTTTCTCCTGCCGCAATGGGAATTTTGACAGGTTGCTCTTGCCCTGACCCTAATATTAGCTGAACTGGAAACAGTATTTTGCGATGGCAAGACCAACACAAAGGAATTCCCTATCAGAATACAAATATACTGATATTTGAGTGCATCAGACGTTTAGCAATTGATGTTATCTATAGCGAGTAAATTATAAAAGGAATTTATGGTTCATATACTTGTATATCGGAATGCACCAATTAAAAAGCATTTTGTGTTTCACGATATGTGAAGTATATTTCCATACATTTAAATGCAATTTGAAGAGAGAAGAAAGTTTAAGAAATTGTTATTTCTTTTTTGTAGCATTGCACTGTTAATAGAGACTGGAAATTAAATAAGTTTTTTTGCTTAAGTAGCAAAACAAAGTAAAACGAAAATTGTATATGTAGTATTATCTATTTAACTAAATAATTATGATTTCAATTATTACAAGCAATTGATCAGAAATTACTTTATTTACTGAATTAATTGAGAACGATTTTTTGTGAAAGTTTAGCTGCAATTTCTACACTGGAATTGAGAAAATTAAGAGATTAATAATGATCTTTTTTCAACGTGCTTCTTCATTTTTTAACAAACACACATGAGCTGCTATTTCCAACATTTCCTTTAAGCTTTTTACACATAGAAGCATGTCTTGGAAGTCTGGAAAAATGTCAGAAAAATGTAAAATCGCGACCTGCTTTTTTCAAAAGCCTTCACTTGAAAAAACGTTGAGAAAAGTTAAGAGAAAGCCCAAAAGCGATAGTCAGAAAAACTGGCCACATTTAGAGAAGTTCTTAAACCAAAAAAACAGAACCGATATCAACAGCTTCAATGATATTTCTTGGAACTTTTTCGAGTGCCATTATCGATTGTCTTCACAAACAGAAGAAAGAAGAAATGTCGTGAACGGGTGTGTTCTCAATATTCTTTAAAGAAAATGAATCGTATTTAGTTAAAAAATACCCTTTATCTAAAAGACACAAAGACAGCGTTTCCAGCCTTAGAGACTATAAATATTATACAGTATATTTCAAAATTGTTATCCTTTCCCTACAATCCACAAATTTAAAGCTACCTTTACTGAACAAACAAAAATTTCTACGCTTATTTTTATTTATTTATTTCATTTAAATCAGGTTGTGAAAACTTTTCCGTAAATTAATTTGACTCCAAGCTGTGGCGGAAGTTTTTCTTTTGGGTACAGGGTATTTCACTGTCCGGAGTGCTCGGCTGTGGCAATCCATCCTGTTTTATGAAACACATTTGGGACAGAAAGATCAACGAATCCGGCGAACATTTAGTGTTGATTTTAGAGAGCTTTTCAACTTGTTGTCGCTGTATAGATTGAGGCTATTCGAGAACAAGTTTTTAGTGGTCGCCCTGGCTAAACAACTGTGTGGAAACATTTTGTATTTATTTTTAAAAGTCAACAACAACTGTGCTGGGAACATGGAACACACTATACACCTACACACTATACATCGGTCAAAAGTATGCAATTAAAAGTGACATTTCGAGCCCAACCATGGGCAATCATAGCAGTAGCCGTAGCCGTAGCCGCAGCCGTAACCACTGTACAGTCGGAGATGTGAACACGTGAAAGGCATACACGAGAAACAAACATGAGAAACAAACAGAGAGACAAACACGAAACAATTACAACATACAGAGGCGGCACAGGCGGTGGACAAACGCTTTGAGCTGAATTTGTGCTCCAATTAAAACGACGATTGTACCGTAAAATGATTTCGAGTTTGACAAGTCGTATGTCGATTTAATTGGTACGAGCTTTTGATGGTACTGCTGGCTAGCTCTGTACTCGTGGCTGTAATCAAAGCAAGGGCCCAGGCGGAAGCGGATGTGGAAGTTGAAGCTGGAGCTGGAGCTGGAGCTGGAGCTAGGAGCAGGCCGCACACACAATTGCTATGCATATACATGTGTACATATATGTATAGTATGTATAGCTGAAATGATTTAATTTTTCTGCAATGCAACTCTGGTTGACATCACGAACAACAACAGCTCGGGCCGTAATTGACAAAAGGTTTCAGCTTCAGGTCCATCGTCTATTGCGTCTGCCACGCAGATAAATACACGCACGAGTGCAGCCTCATGTGACAAGAACCAACCCACACCACCACCCTCTCCCCCCCTAACCCTTCCAACCAGCGAAGCCCGCAGCTCAGCACAACGTAAGACACAATCGACACGCAAAAATTGGAGGCACGCTGAAAAGATCAAAGCCATTCCAATTGACAGTGAAGCCAGCTTCAGTATATATGTATAAATGGTAGCATTGGGGAGGGATATTGCTGGGTATAGGTTCAGTTGCTCGTGATTTGTCAAAGCAACACGTCATTTGCTGCCTTTGTAGCTGCACTCTGGCTTGGCATCCGCATCCAGGCATTGAAAGAAACCGGATTGAAAAATTCGCTTAGTTTGCAGTTGCACATGAAACGTTTGATTATGAAATCGAAATGTGGTGCAGCAATGGGCCTCGGTTTTTCCTTTCCATACTAAGGCACAGGAATTCAATTCGTTGTATTCCTTTTTTTTTAGGTGAAGCCAAATAGGTGTAGGTGTATAGCGACAAATCGCAGCTGTCTAGACTGCGACAACCAAATTATTGCTACTGGCTTTATTTTTAAAGCTAGACAGTAGGCAACGCTTTGGAACCATACGTATACACCATTATAAATATTGCGAAGCACAGGATATGCTTTAAATATTACTTGAAATAGCAAGAAGAGGCCATCATTTTAATTATTTACAATATGGCATTAATGCTATAGAATTTTGTCAAATCCTTATTAATTTTAGATTTGCTTTAATTGCGCTTCAATCAGCTATTACTCTACCTATCTTTGTTTCTTGTTACAGTTATTATTTTAGTTACAAAAAATATATACAGTGAAATCTCTTTTGGCCAGACACTCGCCGTCGACCAACTTATATATATATTGATATTTTTTTCAGTTTTTGCATAATTTATTTATTTATTTATTTATTATTTATTTATTCAATATAAATAATATGTGAGTACTAACATGTAAAAATCAAAAATAAAAATGAAGATCCAAATTCATAAAATAGCTTTAAATTAATTAAGTAAATAAAGAGCGGAAGTCATAGGTTATAGTTATAGTTTATAAAAATGTAGTTGTAGTAGATCACATGGGTAGAAATAAATAATTATAAAACAAATATGAATAAAATGGATGATCAATGTTAATGAAGATTATCATTTAAATTATTTTGCATCCATTTGAAACCTCCGTTATTTTCTTTATAATTTGATGTGTCTATCCTTGTCAGGGTACCTTAAAACGGGGTTCGCGTCCAGCCGAGAGAGGCTTTAGTTCGAATTTCTCGATTAATAGTGTCAAGAGAGTCGAACTTGCTTTAAAAAGTACACCAAAATGAATGTTCTACAAAAAGTGTCCGCCTAAAAGAGGTGTCCATTAAGGGAGTTTTCACTGTAGTATGTGTAGTTAACACAAATTTAAATATGTGTCTATTTTCCAAAATGATTTTTGAAGTCATTGTGAACATACAAGTATTTATGAAACATTTTAAGAAAGCTATCGTGTTGCCTTTCGCATTTCGGTCATCATGTCAGTCGGCTAGTTAGTCTAAAACTTATTTCCTTGGAACACGTACACATGCACACACACAAATTGTAAAAATAAAATAAATTCCGAGATTCTCTAACGGGTTCGAGGTAAGTGCAGATACCAATAATAGCATTCGAATCAATCGCGGGACATAACTAAACAGCCATCGTGCATTGTGGCGTTAAGAGTCTTGAATTGAATTGAATTGAATTCAAGACGCAGGCCATAGTTAAAGAGACGGACTGGGCATGATTTCTCAGACATCTCTTTGTATTGTTTCGCGCTTAGTGTTTAGATGAGCGTTTCGACATGAGAAATCAGTGGGAAGCAAAGCTCATCGCGGTATGGGGGGCGTTTGTTTCTGAGAAAGGCAGTTTAGTTGATATTTTCAGAAATATTTTACTTAAACGCCTTCTTGCAGTAGACTGTAACGGATCAAAGATGTGCAGCCCGTGCTGTGGTGGATGCTGTGGACCCTGTTGTAGCCCATGCTGTGACTGTTGCGGACCATGTTGTGCCCCATGTTGCTCGCCCTGTTGTAGCCCGTGTTGCTCGCCCTGTTGTAGCCCGTGTTGCAGCCCATGCTGTTCCCCATGCAAGCAATGTTGTTGTTCATGCTGCGGACCATGCGGCGGCGGGAAATGTGGGCCGTGCTGTGGACCATGCTGCGGACCCTGCTGCGGACCCTGTTGTGGTTCATGCTGTGGACCTTGTTGTTCGCCATGTTGCGGACCCTGCTGTGGACCATGCTGTGGGCCCTGTTGCGGTCCCTGTTGTGGACCTTGTTGTGGTCCATGCGGACCCAAATGCAAATAGACGGCCCGACACTCAACCTGGACTCAGATGAACTGGACGCAGCTAAAGAGGGAGTGCATAAACAACACCAAAAATTCGTTGAAACCCGTTAGAGAAAAATAAATCTCAAACCTAATACAAACTGAAATCTGAAAAAATTAAAAATTTATCAATGCGAACTCTACAGTTGTCGTTAGAGTTTCATTTCAAAAGTTGACAGCTGATGCCTAGATTTGATTTTAGGAATTTCCTAGACATAAAACAAAATAAAATTCCGATCGAACGAAATTGAATTGGAAAACTTGCTGCACTGCTCTATATTCATGGCACCTTTCCAACACTACAAAAGCAAGATGGCGGCTAGCATAGCCGAAGGATGACAACTGGTCTCAAGCTCTCTTGAAAACCCTTTGCAATATTCATCAGAATTAAAGGAAAATAAATATGAGGCATAATAACAAAGCTTAGAGGTCATTTGCTGAAATGTCGGTAATAAGACCTCCTTTGTAATGTTATTAGACCGTCAAAAGGACAGTGTCACTGGCAGCTTCATGCTGTGCCAACTAAAAACCTAGAATCAATTATGCAAACTACCATCAAAAATGCAACATGAATGCCAGTCTTTCGTACTCAACATGCAAGTTATTTGAGCCTTATATACATGAACTCTTATATAATGTAGTCTGCCATTTGTTTACTCAAGTCTGTCCCCCACAGAGCACAGAGCAGAGTGTTTGCGAGTGAAAGATAAAATAGTCAGACATCTCTTGCTTTGAGTCGCAGCAGGTGAAATTTAAAGTAACCCACTCACTTACAAGTTTGTGTGCGGAAAATTAATTAAAATATCAATTTCAGCAACTTTCAGAATACAGGATGCAAAGATAGATGCAGGACAAGTAAGAAAATGTAAAGGAGTATCGTTGAGACATAACCGGAAGTTATTTACTGTTTGTGCAGTGACAGCACTGCCAACTGCCAGGCAACTCCATGAGCTTTAATTATGCATTTTACTGGCGACAGATGGCAGGAAGTTGAAGCTCACAAGTCCTGGTTAAGTGTCGCAATCGTCGAAGCATCAGCGCAGGAAGATTGTGGCGGTTGCTTGGTAATTTGAGAGGAAATGCTTAAACAGCCCAAGGCAATTGCTTCGTCCACTTCTTGCTCTCCACCACGTTTCACGTTTCAGGCGATCCTTTCAACTACAGGCATACATATGTATGTATGTACATACCTAGCACCGTGCTCGACCAATGCGAACTTAATTAAGGTTAATTAATGCTAGAAAAACACACCCATAAACCCACGGCCATAGACGCATGGACTGAAGACAAATTGGCACATATTCACAGAAACTGAACTACGACTCCTACAAGCCGTTCGCTCAGCGACAGGAAATGAGTTTTCAAAAGCCGGAAGGCAGCAATTATGTGAGTGCCATTGTGTGCCATGCGCCGTGCGCCGTGCATGCCGTTCTAGCACTAACGCTTTAACGTACAAGTGTGTACAGACTACACTCAAAGAATAAAAATGCACGAAATGAATGCCGCAATTACGAGAATCTACAAAAAATAGTTCAAGTTTCAGTTTAAAAAAACAATCTTTTATCATTTGTGATAATGGCTTGGCCTAACTGATTCGAAAGTGCTTCCACATTTCATAAAATATGTAAGCCACGTATTTTTCCGAGTGTATATATGTTGTACATGATGCATGTCTATGCCTGTTAATTGCTCTGGGAATCGACGTTTTACGATACGAGTATAGTACACCTACATAGGTAGTATAGTATTTCATGGGGGCGCCATTTCACATTTTATGGCGCTGTTAATTGAAAGCAGATGAATTTTTAGTTGCATTTTAAAGAGGCAGCCAATGACGAGGCTACCCATAGCCTTGAATTTTATTTGCATATCATCAGACCTTTCAGCAAACACCATTAGCAATTCTCTTTCGTTGCCTGCTGCTGCGGCGTTGCTCGCTTCGCCGAAAGTCTCTGTTCCGAGCAGACGGCAACAATGTAACACAAATCTGTGGCAGGCAGCGACATGTTTGTGTACTTTGCGTATGTTTACGTCGTGTAACGTGCCAAATCCAATTTTGCCGCCAGGCTGACAGCGCCCACCAAAACACCCCCCCACACCAATTTATCAACACACCCCCACAACGCCCAACCCCCAACGCCCATCGCCCAACGCCCATCGCCCAACCCTCCAGCATTGCCAAAGACGATGTCGTCGCTGACTCTGACTCTGACGCTGACGATGACGATGTGCATTCAACGTATGGCCTTCAACGTCAACGAATTTGGCAGCAGGCCCGCACTGGGCGTGGACGGGCGACTTGCGGGAGCGGCCTCCATCCAAATCGTTAAAGGTCGTTGCGTACAAATCGAAGCACAGCTCTTCAAATACAGCAGCGTCGTTCGATTTTTCCGCTTTTTCCTTCGTTTCTTTTTCATTTCAGCAGACAACAATTGCTTTGGAAAATTTGTCGATCTGGCTAATGAAAAAATGCAATGCACTTCCACTTTTCAGCATCCGACATAAAGTGTTATAGATGGTATTGCGGCAATTATTAAACAAGGCCAGAGGAATTTCGATTGAATGGAGCGAAAGAAAAGTTGCAGTTTCGAAAAACTACAGATGCTGCTAAGCGGAAGAATTAGTGAGCTATTTAGTTAGCGGAGCACTTCTGTTCTATAAAAGCTTGTTCGACATTAAAGAAAATAAGGAAAAAATCAAAGTTAAATAGAAAAGGAATACATTTTTTTTGGCTCATACATGCTTCAACAAACTTCTGTTTAGACCCATGTTTATTTATTTGATTTCAATTAAAGTGTTTCGCTTCAAATTGCATTCAATAAGGTTGAAGTTCCTTTAAAGGCAGCTTAAGCGCTGAAGTATTCATTGAGTTCCCAGGCGGAACTTGGCTGTGAATGTGAGCTTGACACTACAGCCAGCATCTTGGACAACTCCCCGGAGAAGCGGAGGCATTCCTCATTGTTGTGCAGTTGTCGTTGTCGCCGTCACAGTTGGCTTTGTAATCGAAAAAAGTGTACGATTTGGAGTGCTAGTACTTATAGCTACCAACTCTACTTGAACATGAGCCTGCACTCTGCAATCAGTACATCTCATAAATTTCTCAACAACTAATCAAAATTAATTCTCAAAAATACTACAACCAGTATATACATACTGTGCTTATAAGAGCGTATTACATTTTGTATGAGTATAGAGATTTAAAAAAGTTTCGCTGATTCTAACGCATCATCCTTCAATTTAGAGCTATCAAAAAAGAGGCCACCTTCTGTGACATTCATTAAACTTTTAACTCCTGACCCTCATCATCACAACCTCACCTTCAACGTTAAAAAAAAGCCCTCATAAAAATATATTTTTTACAGCTATCATTTCAATAATGATCCCACAGGTGACACACTTATAAAAAATAATATTTTTCCCCATTTTCTTTTGGAATGAGAAAACAGTAAGAGGTGTTCATTCTTTTTCAGTTCATTGCTAAAATCTTTAAAAGAAGTTTTTTATCTTATTTTTCCAAGTTCGCATCCAAATTTTTAATTGGCTATTGGCATTGTTTTTAATACGATTGCGTTTTCTAATGCTATTATTATTAAATAAATTGCATAAAATATTATCCTTGCATTTTTTCCCAACCTAAATACTCGGCATGTTTTTCGATTTTCATTTATCATCGGAAGTGGCTTGCAAATTATCTCATTTTCGATTTAAATTAATTTATGCCAAATCATAAAAACACACTCCATACTTATGCAAGCTTATTTGACATTTGAGCGCGTTTTTCTCTGTCGGTGCATTCTGTCGCATTTTCAGTTCAAGTGCATATAAATGTTTAATTTCAAATGCAAAAAAAAACACACACACACACACAAACACACTGCATACATCATTCAGTGCGGCGCTTTTAATTATGGTTTAAATAAATGCGGTGAACAGTGTTTGGGTTTTTATTACAAAAACATTTTGTCAGCCTGATTTTGACTCGATATTCTCGTTTTAATGCATAAATAAATATTTGCGCTAAAACGATAAACCACAAACGCTTCTACATACATATGTACGCGTGTTTGAGTGTGAGTGTCATGTCAAAAACAGGATTTTAGTGACTGCTATTGCAACAAAACGACAAGAAATGACAGTAACAGCCATTAGGTGACGTTTAATAAACCCAAATAGTTTGTGGTTGCGCGCCATATGCGTCAGTTGGCGTTTCCCGGGCGCGGCATATCCCCCACAAAAATGCGATTTCTGCTTTTGTTTACTTATGAAAAATTGATATTATTCTATTTGTCCATCAATTATGCATAGAATGTTGTTTTAACAAAATCGTATCGCAACAATGCATGAAAACATAGAAAATAAAAATAAAATATATAATTACATAGAAACAACAAAAAATAATGGGTTTTTTTTTGGGCAAAAAATATGAAAATATTGCAATGGAAAAACATAAGCATATTTCTTCAATTATTTTTCAAATATGCATATTGAATAATAACAAGTGAAGGTCGAAATTATCAATTGCTTTGCCACTCTTGCATTTTAACAAACAGGAACAGTTCACACTTTGAATTAAATAAATGTTGGTATGTTCTAACAATTAATCTGCCATTATTCTTTGTTTATTCAAATTAAAGGAATATAATTAAGCGGAAAACTTATCGCTATTAACCCTTTTATCCAAATATAGTAGTGGAATATATCTCCAGAATATAATGTCGAAAACAAAACTTAGACCTGAATATTGTACACCAACTGTTTTTACTGGCAATTCCCTAAGCCTGTTCAACCATTCAATAAGGAAACGATAATCTGGCCATTATCTACTTATTTTGTATAGATATATACGTTTCTTTGTCCTACAGTTTAATTGTTTGTATTAAAAATGTGTGAATTAATTATTACACATGTTTAAGTTAAGCCTGTAATGCAGGATAATGTAGATTGCATATGGATTCATAGTAATACACGAGCACTTTTTATTTTATGCACAATTGCCTAAGCTATAATAATTGACTTTATAACTAAGCTGGGCTTGTGTGTGTGTGTATTAAAAAATGTGTTATTAGCGCGTGGGCGCTGCCGCAAAATATTTATAAATTGGGCACGTTGCCAACATTATTTTTCAATTTGTAAAACGATAACT